ATGTTGCATCTTCAAAGTGGTAGGCATGTTGTGTAAATCAAATGATACAAACCACCAAAATATCAATTTAAATTCCAGGTTGTAAGGCAACAAAATAGGAAAAATGCCAAGGGGGGTGAATACTTTCGCAAAGCCACTGTATTATTTATTTCTCAGAGAAGTATGGTGGATGATTGGCTTAAAGATCTCTTATGATTGAATTACATACTTTGATATGACAGGATGTACCTGTATTCAATAGAAGATTGAGGTCTTGTGGTTGGAAATCAAATGACGGGTGTTTCCTGTATCTCGCTCAGTTCTTCCATGAGCCATAACATAAGCAGCAGTCTCTCCACGTGGTAATGATGATGCTATTCAGAGGCGTTGACGCCTAGTTACAAATTACACTACTTGTATTATATAATATACTCTTATTATATCTAATCAGCCCAACTTAATACATCAAAACAGGTTAGACTGCCTATACCTGTGTTTGTAGCCTAACAATCTTCACCTATCCTGCCACAGTCAACAGCTTTGTCACAATGAATCTCAATGTCAGACCATGAGTCTTAGCATTTTTGGAGACTAGTATATCCATGATTTTTTAAATTTTGCGATATAGGTAAATGATTACTTCTAGCTAGTCAATCCAGCAAATTATCTATACAGCATGTGACCACCTGGTACAGAAACAGTACATAGATCCAGTCCAGACACAATACACTCTGATGCAGGGAACAAGTTCACCGAAAAATGTGTCAATGCTGCCTCCTAGTGGTTCTCTCTGATAGTATAGCACCTTAGAGAGGATCTGTCAAAATACAGTGAGGGAAAAAAGTATTTGATCCCCTGCTGATTTTGTACGTTTGCCCACTGACAAATACATTATCAGTCTATCATTTTAATGGTAGGTTTATTTGAACAGTGAGAGACAGAATAACAACAAAAAAATCCAGAAAAACGCATGTCTAAAATGTTATAAATTGATTTGCATTTTAATGAGGGAAATAAGTATTTGACCCCTCTACAAAACATGACTTAGTACTTGGTGGCAAAACCCTTGTTGGCAATCACAGAGGTCAGACGTTTCTTGTAGTTGGCCACCAGGTTTGCACACATCTCAGGAGGGATTTTGTCCCACTCCTCTTTGCAGATCTTCTCCAAGTCATTAAGGTTTTGAGCCTGACGTTTGGCAACTCAAACCTTCAGCTCCCTCCACAGATTTTCTATGGGATTAAGGTCTGGAGACTGGCTAGGCCACTCCAGGACCTTAATGTGCTTCTTCTTGAGCCACTCCTTTGTTGCCTTGGCCGTGTGTTTTGGGTCATTGTCATGCTGGAATACCCATCCACGACCCATTTTCAATGACCTGGCTGAGGGAAGGAGGTTCTCACCCAAGGTTTGACGGTACATGGCCCCGTCCATCGTCCCTTTGGCGCGGTGAAGTTGTCCTGTCCCCTTAGCAGAAAAACACCCCCAAAGCATGTTTCCACCTCCATGTTTGACAGTGGGGATGGTGTTCTTGGGGTCATAGGCAGCATTCCTCCTCCTCCAAACACAGCGAGTTGAGTTGATGCCAAAGAGCTCGATTTTGGTCTAATCTGACCACAACACTTTCACCCAGTTCTCCTCTGAATCATTCAGATGTTCATTGGCAAACTTCAGATGGGCCTGTATATGTGCTTTCTTGAGCAGGGGGACCTTGCAGGCGCTGCAGGATTTCAGTCCTTCACGGCGTAGTGTGTTACCAATTGTTTTCTTGGTGACTATGGTCCCAGCTGCCATGAGATCATTGACAAGATCCTCCTGTGTAGTTCTGGGCTGATTCCTCACCGTTTTCATGACCATTGCAACTCCACAAGGTGAGATCTTGCATGGAGCCCCAGGCCGAGGGAGATTGACAGTTATTTTGTGTTTTTTCCATTTGCGAATAATCGCACCAACTGTTGTCACTTTCTCACCAAGCTGCTTGGCGATGGTCTTGTAGCCCATTCCAGCCTTGTGTAGGTCTACAATCTTGTCCCTGACATCCTTGGAGAGCTCTTTGGTCTTGGCCCTGGTGGAGAGTTTGGAATCTGATTGATTGATTGCTTCTGTGGACAGGTGTCTTTTATACAGGTAACAAGCTGAGATTAGGAGCACTCCCTTTAAGAGTGTGCTCCTAATCTCAGCTTGTTACCTGTATAAAAGACACCTGGGAGACAGAAATCTTTCTGATTGAGAGGGGGTCAAATACTTATTTCCCTCATTAAAATGCAAATCAATTTATAACATTTTCGACATGCGTTTTTCTGGATTTTGTTGTTGTTATTCTGTCTCTCACTGTTCAAATAAGCCTACCATTACAATTATAGACTGATCATTTCTTTATCAGTGGGCAAATGTACAAAATCAGCAGGGGATCAAATACTTTTTTCCCTCACTGTAAGTTCCAGGTAGCGAAAAAGCCTTCTTGACCTTTTCACATCTTTATGCCTAGAGGTAGGGGATGTAGCTCACCCACCTTTATTTTGAAATTGGCAGTTATCTCGTTATTACACAAAACAATGGGAAATAAATAATATCATAAAAAAGCTATTTCTACTATTTCAAACTGCATGATGCATTTTGTGCCAAAAGTGTGTAATTGAGCTTTGATATGGATATGAACTGATTAAAAAATAAATAAATGGGCCACTGATTTGAAAGCATTGGGCCCCTCATTCGTATTTGACTTCAGTTGTGAATATGTGCTTACAACTAGTGGTTGAAGTCACATTATGGCACTTTTCAAAGACCATGCATAATGAATGTTATTGCTCATTTGATGAAATACTACACATATCCTGTGTCCTCAGATCAATGCAGATGAAGGAAATTAGATATTGAGATAAACCGGTTTTAGAGTATTTACATGATGCATAAGAAGTGTAATGTACTGTTTTTCTAAATTCTGTTTCTGTATATATGAATTACAAATCAGCCTTTTAAACTAGTTAAATCATGTTTCTAGTCTATTGCATAGTTGCACCATCGAGAGCATCCTGACTGGTTGCATCACCGCCTGGTATGGCAACTGCTTGGCCTCTGACCGCAAGGCACTACAGAGGGTAGTGCGTACGGTCCAGTACATCACTGGGGCCAAGCTTCCTGCCATCCAGGACCTCTATACCAGGCGGTGTCAGAGGAAGGCCCTCAAAATTGTCAAAGACTCCAGCCACCCTAGTCATAGACTGTTCTCTCTGCTACCGCACGGCAAGCGGTACCGGAGTGCCAAGTCTAGGTCCAAAATACTTCTCAACAGCTTCTACCCCCAAGCCATAAGACTCCTGAACAGCTAATCATGGCTACCCGGACTATTTGCACTGCCCCCCACCCCATATTTTTACGCTGCTGCTACTCTGTTAATTATTTATGCATAGTCACTTTAACTCTACCTACATGTACATATTACTTCAACTACCTCCACTAGCCGGTGCCCCCGCACATTGACTCTGCACCGGTACCCCCCTGTGTATATATAGCCTCCCTACTGTTATTTTATTGTACTTCTGCTCTTTTTTTCTCAACACTTTTTTGTTTTATTTTACTTTTTATAAAAAATCAATGCACTGTTGGTTAAGGGCTCAAAGTAAGCATTTCACTGTAATGTCTGCACCTGTTGTATTTGGCGCATGTGGCCAATAAAATTTGATTTGACCATTGATGTCCCAGGACCAGTAAACATTTTACATTTTAGTTATTAAGCAGACACTCTTATCCAGAGCGACTTACAGTTAGTGAGTGCATATATTTTCATACTGGCCCCCCGTGGGAAACGAACCCACAACCCTGGCGTTGCAAGCGTCATGCTCTACCAACTGAGCTACACGGGGCCCACAGTAAACACTGTTGAAGTGTATAATTGTAACACATACATGCAGACACAGCATCATTCAAAGACTGGAGTTTGATACTCCTGGTATTGGATATGACTAAATGTCTCACAGACATTCATACCTGAACTGCACCTTTATTTGCCAAGGTAGAGTACATGACTAGTGGTTGAAGTCACATTATGGCACTTTTCAAAGACCATGCATAATGAATGTTATTGCAAGATTATTATAGTAGGGTACATTGATTTAAGTGCATTGCAAATTCGTGATTTTGTTTTTAATGATCAGGGAATCAGGGATGGATATGTCTTCCTTTGTCTAGCAGGGACTACCCTATGGTTAGTGCATGGGTCTCAAACTAAATTCCTGGAGGGCAGTATGTCTGCAGGTTCTCGCTCCTCCCTTGTACTTGATTGATCACTTAAGGGTCATTGATTAGTTAGGAGCTCCCCTCACCTGGTTGTCTAGGACTTTATTGATTAGTTAGGAGCCCCCCTCACCTGGTTGTCTAGGTCTTTATTGATTAGTTAGGAGCTCCCCTCACCTGGTTGTCTAGGTCTTTATTGATTAGTTAGGAGCCCCCCTCACCTGGTTGTCTAGGTCTTTATTGATTAGTTAGGAGCCCCCCTCACCTGGTTGTCTAGGTCTTTATTGATTAGTTAGGAGCTCCCCTCACCTGGTTGTCTTTATTGATTAGTTAGGAGCTCCCCTCACCTGGTTGTCTAGGTCTTTATTGATTAGTTAGGAGCCTCCCTCACCTGGTTGTCTTTATTGATTAGTTAGGAGCTCCCCTCACCTAGTTGTCTAGGTCTTTATTGGACACCAATCGAAAGGAAATAACAAAAACCAGCAGACACACGGCCCTCCAGGAATGGAATTTGTCACCGCTGCGTTAGTGGTTACAGTAGTATCCACTGGGTTAGCGGTAACAGTAGTATCAGAGAGAACCATTTTTCTGTGAACTTGTTCGGTGCATCAGAGTGCATGGTGTCTGGACTGATATACCAGACCTCCAACTCCGAATAGAGTCCATACGATGTTGAGGTGTACTGGCCACGATTCCAGCTGCCTCAGGTATCTAACTTGCCTAAAAATAATGATCTCCTGTTATCTCTGCAGGCCAGAGAGAGGTACATTCTGCAGCATGAGGCAAGGTACCTTCTTCAGCAGGAGGACAGGTACATTCTTCAGCAGGAGGCCAGGTACCTTCTTCAGCAGGAGGACAGGTACATTCTGCAGCATGAGGCCAGGTACCTTCTTCAGCAGGAGGACAGGTACATTCTGCAGCACGAGGCCAGGTACCTTCTTCAGCAGGAGGCCAGGTACATTTTACATTTACATTTTAGTCATTTAGCAGACGCTCTTATCCAGAGCGACTTACAGGAGCAATTAGGGTTAAGTGCCTTGCTTAAGGGCACATCGACAGATTTTTCACCTAGTCGGCTTGGGGATTAGAACCAGCGACCTTTCGGTTACTGGCACAACGCTCTTACCCACTAAGCTACCTGCCGCCCCAGGTACCTTCTTCAGCAGGAGGACAGGTACATTCTTCAGCAGGAGGCCAGGTACCTTCTTCAGCAGGAGGACAGGTACCTTCTTCAGCAGGAGGACAGGTAAATTCTGCAGCATGAGGACAGGTACATTCTGCAGTAGGAGGCCAGGTTAAAAAAGATGGCCTTGAAAGATACGATGCACTGGATGGTCTCTTCCCTCAGTTTATCACCAATGATGTGTTTTCACACCTGTTCCAGGATAGTTGGTAATTTGCCTTGATGGAAAACATCCTGACAAGGTAATGGTCAAGCATGTTGGTGTGTTAGTCTGTGAAGAGGCAAAGGACTATATGCTATCTAGAATGTTTTATTGTCGCTTGAGGAGACTAGACGACCAGGAGAGGCGCCACAAGTTTGTCTGGGAGGTGGGTCAGGCTGTTTAGAGAGTGGAGACAGCCTTACTCAGTCCTGGCCTGTGGAATAGACAGGCAGGTAACCAGTACCTGAAGGGGGATTTAAACAGGGAGACTGCAAAGTCAAGGCCCAAAGTCCAGTCTATTTTAATAAAGTAAGTTGTTCCTTTTTTTTTCAGGATAGTGTTGAACCAAAGGTGAAGTCTGGGATTAGTGGATTTTTTAAACCTCTTCTTCTTTGTTCTTCTTCTTCTTCTTCTTCTTCTTCTTCTTCTTCTTCTTCTTCTTCTTCTTCTTCTTCTTCGTTCTCCTTCTTCGTTCTTCTTCTTCGTTCTTCTTCTTCCTCTTCTTCGTTCTTCTTCTTTGTTCTTCTTCGTCTTCTTCTTCTTTTTGTTATGTCACTGGAAATATTTTGTCCTCAAGACAGACCTGGTAATTAGAAATGATAGCTGATATGGTCATTTACCTAGCCATGACCCCACTCTCCTAGGGTGTCTCAGGGGAATTTGGGATATGCAAAAAATACACATTAGGACAAATATAAGTATCCACCAAATTATTATGTGGTCCTCTGTAGCTCAATTGGTAGAGCGTGGCGCTTGTAACGCCAGGGTAGTGGGTTCGATCCCCGGGACCACCCATACGTAAAAATGTATGCACACATGACTCTAAGTCGCTTTGGATAAAAGCGTCTGCTAAATGGCATATTATTATGATTAACATTAGGACAAATATAAGCATCCACCAAATTATTATTATGTATTGTATTATTATTAAACTAGCATGAAGATGTAGTTCTGAGGACAGGGAGCGCCACAGTACATGCAGTACAGGTTAACTAGATTCGGGTAACAAAGTCACCCATCCTCTATATTTATGAAAGCGGCACTAATAGCCACATTCAATATTTTTCATGAATTGAGTGTAAAACAAATTGCTTCTAAAGTTTTACCCCACAAATGGAGAAGTCACAGCTACCATATGAATAATAAATAAATGCATAAATAATAGTAAAATAAATGAAAATAAATAGACAGTATATTAATTTGAACTACTTTAATAGTAAGTTACAGTGGGGAAAAAAAGTATTTAGTCAGCCACCAATTGTGCAAGTTCTCCCACTTAAAAAGATGAGAGAGGCCTGTAATTTTCATCATAGGTACACGTCCACTATGACATACAAAATGAGATTTTTTTTCTCCAGAAAGGATTTTTAATGAATTTATTTGTAAATTATGGTGGAAAATAAGTATTTGGTCAATAACAAAAGTTTCTCAATACTTTGTTATATACCCTTTGTTGGCAATGACACAGGTCTTCACAAGGTTTTCACACACTGTTGCTGGTATTTTGGCCCATTCCTCCATGCAGATACTCTAGAGCAGTGATGTTTTGGGGCTGTCGCTGGGCAACACGGACTTTCAACTCCCTCCAAAGATTTTCTATGGGGTTGAGATCTGGAGACTGGCTAGGCCACTCCATGACCTTGAAATGCTTCTTACGAAGCCACTCCTTCGTTGCACGGGCGGTGTGTTTGGGATCATTGTCATGCTGAAAGACCCAGCCACGTTTCATCTTCAATGCCCTTGCTGATGGAAGGAGGTTTTCACTCAAAATCTCACGATACATGGCCCCATTCATTCTTTCCTTTACACAGATCAGTCGTCCTGGTCCCTTTGCAGAAAAACAGCCCCAAAGCATGATGTTTCCACCCCCATGCTTCACAGTAGGTATGGTGTTCTTTGGATGCAACTCAGCATTCTTTGTCCTCCAAACACGACGAGTTGAGTTTTTACCAAAAAGTTCAGGTTTCATCTGACCATATGACATTCTCCCAATCCTCTTCTGGATCATCCAAATGCACTCTAGCAAACTTCAGACGGGCCTGGACATGTACTGGCTTAAGCAGGGGGACACGTCTGCACTGCAGGATTTGAGTCCCTGGCGGCGTAGTGTGTTACTGATGGTAGGCTTTGTTACTTTGGTCCCAGTTCTCTGCAGGTCATTCACTAGGTCCCCCCGTGTGGTTCTGGGATTTTTGCTCACCGTTCTTGTGATCATTTTGACCCCACGGGGTGAGATCTTGCGTGGAGCCCCAGATCGAGGGAGATTATCTGTGGTCTTGTATGTCTTCCATTTCCTAATAATTGCTCCCACAGTTGATTTCGTCAAACCAAGCTGCTTACCTATTGCAGATTCAGTCTTCCCAGCCTGGTGCAGGTCTACAATTTTGTTTCTGGTGTCCTTTGACAGCTCTTTGGTCTTGGCCATAGTGGAGTTTGGAGTGTGACTGTTTGAGGTTGTGGACAGGTGTCTTTTATACTGATAACAAGTTCAAACAGGTGCCATTAATACAGGTAACGAGTAGAGGACAGAGGAGCCTCTTAAAGAAGAAGTTACAGGTCTGTGAGAGCCAGAAATCTTGCTTGTTTGTAGGTGACCAAATACTTATTTTCCACCATAATTTGCAAATAAATTCATAAAAAATCCTACAATGTGATTTTCTGGATTTTTCTTTCTCAATTTGTCTGTCATAGTTGACGTGTACCAATGATGAAAATTACAGGCCTCTCTCATCTTTTTAAGTGGGAGAACTTGCACAATTGGTGGCTGACTAAATACTTTTTTTCCCCACTGTAATGATCTATTTTTACTGAGGGATACTCATTGGAAGAGAACGTATTGCATCAGAGTCAGTGTGATAGCTGGGGAGAGTTAATGTTTGGTCTAGTGTTGAGTTTTTGGTTCAGTATCTGAACTTTTACCCTAATACATATCTAGATTTGACATGATCTCATGGAATCCTGGGTGTGTTCTCCTCAAAACTGCACAGCTGATGTTTTGAACTGATGAAAGGGACTTATGTTATGGTAATTCAACTGCTATCTCTTTCAAGTGTATCAATTAAGCCTTATAACAAACTGCAACATTGCAGCACAGGCCTACTTGACGTGATTAGAGAGTATTTATTATTTATTTATCCTTGTGACTCCCATTGAGATAGGACTCTCTTTTTCAAGGGAGCCCTGGCCAAGAGGAAACAGCAGTCGATCATACAGAGTAAATTACAATACAACAACAACACAATCAAAAACATTTTTTAAAATCTTTTCGAGCAACTATATTTCAGTTTTATAAAGCCAGGCTTCAGTTTAAATATATATATATATATATATATATATATAATGGTTACTTTTGTCTGGTTTACACAGGTATAAACATGACAGAAGCAAATATTTGTACATTTCAGTTTTCAGGTTTGCAACATGACAGTGATGGGCTAGGGATTTTGCAGTAGTTGTAAGACGTAAACACACTGTTCAACAGTGTCTGTGGCCTGTCATGGTAGTAAACGAGACCAATATGTAAGCTACAGAACATCTCCAATCCTCTTCCATTTACAATGGAATTCTTACATTTTGTGGGATGCCCAATCCCAAATCATCTCCATGCCCCAACCCCCTTTGTGTAGTATTGAATATGGTGGAAATTCCATCTAGCAAGCTGATACCGTCCCACTGGACACAGACGGCAGTTCAACATCTTGTTTTGATTTACATTTGGTTGAGTTGTCAACTAATCATGAATTCAACGTGAAATCAACTAAACATTTCACCAAGTCATTGGATTTAGGTTAAACGTTGGGTGAAAAAAAGATCAAATTCGATTACTTTTTGCAAATCCAATCTGTTTTCCACGTTGATTGAAATGATGTGGAAACAACATTGATTCACCAGTTTTTGCCCAGTGGGATATTGCTAATACCTGTCCAATTCAGATCCATGTAGTTCATAGGCCATAGTGAAATGTCCCACAGTTTCTGTGCAATGTCTAGAACAGATGTAACCCAATGTATGATGTTACCTCAGAGGAAGTCCTATTCTGCGGTCCTTAGACCTGGTGATGCGCTTCCTGTGTCAACTGAGTTATGTTGGTTTCTTCTCAGTGACTAAGACAGGAAGTGTCTCAGGAGGACGCTATGGTTCTGGAGTTGTAAGCACGTGGACAATGACCTGCTTAAAGATAAAACATTAAATATTACAATAACATTTGTATTCCTCTTTTTTTTTGTAGTTATAATGTATTCATAAATGAATGAAAGAGAAAGTACCTTTTCTAGTGAATGTTCTTTAGGAGTCGCCATTGTTCTGGCATGTTTGATGTATCTAACCCATAACACAGCTATCACAGCTAACACATCAACTAAGATTAATCCACCAATAACAGCATCCACAATGGCGCCTGGTATTGCTGAAGCTTTTCCATCCTTCTCACCACTACCTGAGGTCACACACAGAGAACAGACAGTTTAATCCTTATAGAATTACTTAAATAACAATAGATTCGGTCAAATAATCATCATAGACCAATAGTTTGACATAGACAGAATTATTAAGATGTTTTCGCTGGAGAGGATTTATAACTGCATTTATATAAAAACTGTTTATATTTATTATTCATACCAATGAATGTAACTTTTGTTCATATTATATTATTAGTAGGTTATTAAACAGTGATAGAGGTATACAGTGAAGGTGACGGCTAAATGGTACTTACAGTCCTCCATGGGTTGAGAGATGGTCTGTGTGCTGACGTGGTTGCTGGTGGTGCATTGGATAGTCCCGTTGCCATTGGAGATGATGATGTTGACCCCAGACAGAGACAGTAACTGTTGTGACCGTGTACACTGACCCCCGCCACAGACAGACAACATCCAGCCATCTTTAACTGAACAGTTCACTGTGACATCACAGAGTCCCACACTCTTGTTATTAAAGTAGAGGGGTGTGACATCCATGACTGGTTTGGTAACATGATCTATAAGAGAACCAAAGAAGAGTTGAGAAATATTAGGCCTACATGCATTACTGATCTGGAGATTTTTAAGGTGTCCACCATATTGCATTCACCCATAATGCAACTCTAGAACCTGATGCAACTTCAAAATCAGTGTAAATGAAAGAGAGGAGAAAAGGAAAGGTCACTGACTATTGAGATGGACCCAATGTCAAATGTATCAATCAACATACATGTTGATGGCTGAAGCTGCAATGCTACGTTGAATCTTCTAGAATACAGCAAATTACCAGAACTGAAACCTTAGAAAACTCACCCTGCACTAATAGTCTATATGTAGTAGTTGATTCTTTCCAACTTTTCCGGTAGTTTACCATATCAATTCTACTGTCTGTGTTCATTATGTATGAAGGGAAGAGCGTGGGAGAGGGAGGTAACCAGCACCGTACACATCTGAAATGAATGTTGAAACACAGTCTCTATGGGGATATGGGCATAGTGCTTTCCCAGGCTGCCACACATGGCATTCATACAAACATTCACAGATTATTTATTAATAATATTTATTTCTTATTATTATTATTATTATTATTATTATTATTTCAATAGCTCATAAAGAGATGAACAGTTTGACATGTGTTGTTGTATTGTATGTGTAATGGAATTCCCTTTTTGGAGTGACTGCGTCGAATCTGTCTGTGTTGAGCTGGCCGCTTATCAGATGGGAAAATTCCTGTCTTGTCCTCAAACTGAAATGTAAGAATTTGATAATTAGATTACAGAATGTGTGTGTGATGTTCCGGCAGAGACGCATAGGTTCTATTGCATTTAGTCACCTGATAATGGAGTCAGATTGATAAATACATGTAATTATTAAACATAATTCTAAATAACTACAGTATTTCAGATGTTAACATATTGAACAATGCTCAGTACAGTGTATCTACCGATACCACATCACTATGGACTTCCTTCCATCAAACCTCCACAGCAGAAACCACATTGTTTTTCTGAAATATAGAAAATGCTTTGAGGGGGAAGGGGAGTTTACTAAGCCACGGTCTACATCCTACTTTGACTGAGCGAGCACCTAGTTACATCCTGAACTGCATACTACTTGTAGTTTACCACCACAGGGTCTCAACATTTCGACATAGACAGGAAGTCAAACTTAATCTATCAATATTTGGAAATGAAATCTCTGTTTTTGCTACACATCTGTTGGCTGGAAATAATCGCAGGTATCTAAACTCTTCATACCTTTTACATGTAATGAATTCTAGAGTTAAAGGAGGTGTACCCTCTGGGACTTGGAGGTAGCTATTGGGTATCCTGCTGTAGGCCTAATTATTCATCCTTTTGGAACACATGCCATAGATTGGTATAGATGAGATACTTTGAACATGAGTGATCTGAACACATGCTATAGATTGGTATAGATGAGATACTTTAAACCATGAGTGATCTAAACAAATGCCATAGATTGGCATAGATGAGATGCTTTGAACATGAGTGATCTGAACACATGCCATGGATTGGTATAGATGAGATACTTTGAACATGAGTGATCTGAACACATGCCATAGATTGGTATAGATGAGATACTTTGAACATGAGTGATCTGAACACATGCCATAGATATGTATAGATGAGATACTTTAAACCATGAGTGATCTGAACACATGCCATAGATTGGTATAGATGAGATACTTTGAACATGAGTGATCTGAACACATGCCATAGATTGGTATAGATGAGATACTTTAAACCATGAGTGATCTGAACACATGCCATAGATTGGCATAGATGAGATGCTTAGAACATGAGTGATCTGAACACATGCCATAGATTGGTATAGATTAGATGCTTAGAACATGAGTGATCTGAACACATGCCATAGATTGGTATAGATGAGATACTTTGAACATGAGTGATCTGAACACATGCCATAGATTGGTATAGATGAGATACTTTAAACCATGAGTGATCTGAACACATGCCATAGATTGGCATAGATGAGATGCTTAGAACATGAGTGATCTGAACACATGCCATAGATTGGTATAGATGAGATACTTTGAACATGAGTGATCTGAACACATGCCATAGATTGGTATAGATGAGATACTTTGAACATGAGTGATCTGAACACATGCCATAGATTGGTATAGATGAGATACTTTGAACATGAGTGATCTGAACACATGCCATAGATTGGTATAGATGAGATACTTTAAACCATGAGTGATCTGAACACATGCCATAGATTGGTATAGATGAGATACTTTGAACATGAGTGATCTGAACACATGCCATAGATTGGTATAGATGAGATACTTTAAACCATGAGTGATCTGAACACATGCCATAGATTGGTATAGATGAGAAACTTTAAACCATGAGTGATCTGAACACATGCCATAGATTGGTATAGATGAGATACTTTAAAACATATTTGAGTAATCCCAGCAGCCCAGCTAACAATGGTTGGTTTAAATGTGACCCCGTTCCTCTGTCATTAGGAATCAGGGTGGAACCCTCAGTGGACCAGTATGGGTTGAAGGGGGGTTCAATATGTCTGGCTGTTGCAGAACCTGAGATTCTCAAAGGACTTCAATGGAAGACGGGCAGTGATGTAATAGTTAGTGATAAAGAGATTTCTCCTAAATATAAGGAGAAAGTGGATTATAACTCTGTCAACCATTCTCTGTGTATTAAGAATCTGCTGAACACAGACAGTAGAATTTACATGGGAAGTGCAATTAATCAGAGAGACTGGACTGATTCAACTACCACATACAGACTAAAGGTGCTTGGTGAGTTTTGTGAAGTTTTTGTGCTGGTAGTCATCTTTTTGTTTATTCAATACAATTAAAGTATCTAGACCACTCATAGATGTATGGATCTCTTTCCCAACTCCATTGGTTCTTGTAGATCATGTTCCCAAACCAGTTATGGATGTCACGTCTCTCTTCAACACAAGTGTGGGACTCTGTGACGTCACAGTGAACTGTTCAATTAAAGATGGCTGGATGTTGTCTGTCTGTGGCGGGGGTCAGTGTACACGGTCACAACAGTTACTGTCTCTGTCTGGGGTCAACATCATCATCTCCAATGGCAACGGGACTATCCAATGCACCGGCAGCAACCACGTCAGCACACAGACCATCTCTCAACCCATGGAGGACATATGTAAGGTCCAATCTAGCATTCATTTGGAGATCTACCCGTGAGGTTAGAAGCTGAACCTCATGTTGATATTGTGTAGTCATTCTGTAATATCTCTGTCATTGTTTAATACTAAATGATGCGATATCAAATATTGTAAAAAATATATCCACAGGGAAAAGCACACACAGGATATCAAAGTTATATGTTTAGTATTTTTATTTATTTAGAGCCAACACATAAACACCCAATATGTTTATGTGTTGGCTCTATGTGTTAGGTCTTTTTTTAAATGAATTTCTCAATTTGACAAAAGCTCTGACGGAGGCCTTGAGGCCGATACGTAAAGCTTATTAAAGAGCAGTGACACAATCAGGAGCAGTGATACTATCAGGAGCAGTGATACTATCAGGAGCAGTGATACTATCAGGAGCAGTGATACTATCAGGAGCAGTGTGCAGGCTTCTTCTTTTTTCTCCCATTGACCTTTTTTGGAATTAGCACCGCAAACATCTACTTGGAACAGCTGATTTAATCTTGGCTGCAAGGACTTTTGTTTGAACGATATGATACATAAACGGTACCTACCATAAAGTAATGTTGACTGTTGGAAACAATTAACATCACATTAGACCAAACGTGTTAATGAAATATTGTATTTTTGGCTCTGAGAGGGTAACCCAGATTGTGTGTCCCAGGTATTGGTGAGAAGGACGGCAAAGCTTCAGCATTATCAGTCAGGACCATTGTGGCCAATACTGTTCGATCAGTGTTTGTTTATGTTGGATTGGCAGGCACCATAATGGCCATCATAAAGGTCAAAAGATGGATATCCTCAAAAGAAGTTGACTCAACTCAGGTACTTCCTGTGAAATGCATTTGACTTTTTATAAATATATTATTTTAATTTAATTTTAAATTGTTTTACTTTGTAAGCTTTGTTGAATGAAGATTTGATGTAATTGTAATGTCTCATCTTTAGGAAGTCATCGTTGACACCTCAGTGAATGATTCAGCAGAGGTGAGGCCAGAACCACTTGGCCCTCCTGAGGTAGAAACACTTTACAGAAATATGCAGAAACCAGGACAGCAACAATAAATGGACTTCACCCAACTGACCAGCATTTTTTATTACAGACTGTAATATCATGGGACAAATATTGAACCCATATTTCATTTAGTATTATCTGCAGTGTTTCGCTTAAAGGGAGAGCCGTGTCGGGTCGACTTCCACAACAACTAAGAGCATTGAAGCATGAGGCTAAACTCTGCATGTTCTGATGTGAAGCACACCCTACACATGAACATATACTCTGTGAGTACAACGTCTTGCTTCTGTGGTTCATTCTGTTTTTGGAATGTTGAATGTCCCACTTTTGTTGTGTTTTTGGAATGTTGAATGTCCCACTTTGGTTGTGTTTTTGGAATGTTGAATGTCAAACTTTTTATGTTGTTGTTTTCACACACAAAAAATGATTACATGATTAATTGAATCAATGAATTGAAATAAATGATTAATTGAGCCATTACTGTTCAGTCTCAAGTTTACACAGTCAATACAGTGCGCTGTGGAATTGCTCCACATCCTGTCTAAATAAAAATAGTATCTTTGTTTCTGAACTTGGCCTTGTGGTTAAGGCCGCTGCCTTGGCACATGTACATTTTCCCTGCCTGCGTTGGTACGAGTCCTGGCACCTACCAGGCCTCCTCTGTACCTCCTTCTCTCCGTCTCCCCTTCATTTGATATGTATCTCTGTCTTTGAAAAACAATCAAATACTCTGTAAAATACAGAAGGAGAGTCCAATAACAGAATAGTGCCTAGCAGCTGTGCCCACAGTAAAAGCGAAATAACTTGATCACTTTCAATGTACTTCTGCTACATAACATTCACAAAATAGAAATATAGATGTCATTTCTCACTACTTATACAATAGTTTACAGAAACGTGAACACACACAAACATACTGACACAATGCAATTGATGTTATTCTCTATCTATTACTTAATTCTAAAACTACATCTGCATCACAGTCTGGATGTGAACAGTAAGCCACAAGCTGCTCTCCCTCTGAAAAATGTAAATGACTCAGAGGGTATTGCAACCCAGTATCACAGATTATTGTGAAATAGACACAAATTGCTTATTGGAAATGTGTGACAAGCACACAAAAAAGTATATTTTTCATGTGCAGTACACGATTTTGTGTACAGTGCATTTCAATCACAGATAAAGACAGTAGGTTACTTCAGACAGAAACGATAGGAGGGTGGATGGTGTAACGCGAACATCTAGCAACCCAAAGGTTATGTGTTCGAATCTCATCATGGATAATTTTAGCTAATTAGCTACTTTGCAACTACTTACTACCTTTGAGCTACAGTACCTGTCAAAAGTTTGGACACACCTACTCATTCCTGGTTTTTTTTAACTTGTTTTTTAAAACTATTTTCTACATTGTAGAATAATAGTGAAAACATCAAAACTATGAAATAACACATACGGAATCATGTTGTAAACAAAAAAGTGTTAAACAAATCAAAATATATTTTATATTTGAGATTCTTCAAATAGCCACCCTTTGCGTTGATGACAGCTTTGCACACTCTTGGCATTCTCTCAACCAGCTTCATGAGGTAGTCACCTGAAATGCATTTCAATTAACAGGTGTGCGTTCTTAAAAGTTAATTTGTGGAATTAATTTCCTTCTTAATGCGTTTGAGCCAATCAGTTGTGTTGGGACAAGGTAGGAGGGGGTATACAGAAGATAGCCCTATTTGGTAAAAGACCAAGTCCATATTATGGCAAGAACAGCTCAAATAAGCAAAGTGAAACGACAGTCCATCATTACTTTAAGACATGAAGGTCAATCTATATGGAACATTTCAAGAACTTTGAACGTTTCTTCAAGTTCAGTCGCAAAAACCATCAAGCGCTGTCATGAAACTGGCTCTCATGAGGACCGCCACAGGAATGGAAGACCCAGAGTTACCTCTGCTGCAGAGGATAAGTTCTTTAGAGGTACCATCCTCAGAAATTGCAGCCCAAATAAATGCTTCACAGAGTTCAAGTCACAGACACATCTCAACATCAACTGTTCAGAGGAGACTGCGTGAATCAGGCCTTCATGGTCGAATTGCTGCAAAGAAACCATTACTAAAGGACACCAATAAGAAGAAGAGACTTGCTTGGGCCAAGAAACACGAGCAATGGACATTAGACCGGTGGAAATATGTCCTTTGCTCTGGAGTCCAAATTGTCTTTGTGAGACGCGGTGTGGGTGAACGGATGATCTCCGCATGTGTATTTCCCACCGTAAAGCATGGAGGAGGAGGTATTATGGTGTGGGGGTACTTTGCTGGTGACACTGTCTGTGATTTATTTAGAATTCAAGATACACCTAACCAGCATGGCTACCACCGCATTCTGCAGCGATACACCATCCCATCTGGTTTGGGCTTAGTGGGACTATCATTTCTTTTTCAACAGGACAATGACCCAACACACCTCCAGGCTGTGTAAGGGCTATTTTACCAAGAAGGAGAGTGATGGAGTGCTGCATCAGATGACCTGATCTCCACAATCCCCCGACCTCAACCCAATTTAGATGGTTTGGGATCAGTCGGACCGCAGAGTGAAGGAAAAATAGCCAACAAGTGCTCAGAATATGTGGGAACTCCTTCAAGACTGTTGGAAAAGCATTCCAGGTGAAGCTGGTTGAGAGAATACCAAGAGTGTGCAAAGCTTCAAGACATGGCATTAAATAACAATGGTGCCTTGAGGCTTGTACCATAGAATTGCATTGCATGGGGTGTCTTGAGACATCTTGAGCCACAAGACATGTCACAAAACATGTCTTCAAAATGTTTCTCGAGTCATCTTAAGATGTCTTAAGACATGTCTTCAAAACAGCCGTGTCTTAAGACGTCTCAAGACACAGGTGAATGCTGGGTATGTACAGTCTGCATGACAACTTATGTAACGTGTTACTACATGCTACATAAGAGTCTACGTTCCAGATGTTATAACAAGGTGTTATGTCATTTACTAAGCTCTGTGCCACATTATTACATTTAATGGAATGATGGGTGGCATAACCATGTCATATGCCGTTATAGAGTGTGCACAGAAACCTTAAAGGTCGACTTCGGGCCAAAACACAAAAATAACGTATTTAAACTGTACAACTGATCAATGCACCATCATACTAGGTCATTTGATGCTTAAAAACAAAACATTGATTAATAAGATACTTGGCCACAGAAGTGTAATTTCTTGCTGAGCTCTACAGCTTCTGCCCAAAAACAAATCCTGTGAAATGATGTCAACACACACTGGAGGAGTTACTGTCTAGCTACAAGTGGCTAGCTTAGCTAACAAACTAGCTACATCGGTTGTGGAGCACAAGACCAGAATGACAGGTCGATGAACCTCTAAAGGCACACTCCATTTCTCTTGGACCCCTTTTTTTTCTGTACATGCTTCCTTCTTTTTACTCTGTAATTTAGGTTAATATTGTGGAGTAACTACAATGTTGTTGATCCATCGTCCGTTTTCTCCTATCATAGCCATTTAACTCTGTAGCTGTTTAAAAGTCACCACTGGCCTCTTGAGGAAATTCCTGAGCGGTTTCCTTCCTCTCCGGCAACTGAGTTAGGAAGGACGCCTGTATCTTTGTAGTGACTGGGTGTATACACCAGCCAAAGTGTAATTAATAACTTCACCATGCTAAAAGGGATATTTAATGTCAGCTTGTCTTTACCCATCTTCCAATAGGTGCCCTTCTTTGCAAGGCATTGGAAAACCTCCCTGGTCTTTGTGGTTGAATCTGTGTTTGAAATTCACTGCATGACTGAGGGACGTTAAAGATTATTGTATGTTTGGGGTACAGAGATGAGGTAGTCATAAAAACATTATGTTAAACACTATTATTGCACACAGAGTCCATGCAATTTATTATGTGACTTGTTGAGCACATTTTTACTCCTGGATTGATTTAGGCTTGCCATAAAAAAGGATTGAATACTTATTGACTCAAGACATTTCAGCTTTTCATTTTTTATTAATTTGTACATTTTCAAAATACACAATTCCACTTTGTCATTATGGATTGCTATGAATTGCAGCTTTAAATTACAGAGCATTTCTGTTCAAAACAATATTTTTGGGGAATACAATAAACATTTTGTTGAAAACTGGATCCTTGATGGAGTAGTGTGGATCCCTGTTAGCCAACCAGGCCCTGTTGTGCATCTAAGGGTATATTGTAGATGAATAATATGACATTGTATTGTATTGTACCCTCTAAACTTCTTCCACAGATCCCTCGGTCAAATTTGTTTGATCTGTTGTTGCTAGCAATATTATTTTTCGATCTGGCCACGGACCCCAGTTTGGGAACCACTGATCTAAAGCACTGGACCCCTCTTAGCCTACTGATATATTTTTGAACATGTGCTGACATCTAGTGGTTAAATCTGACTTTTTAAAGATTCATATTTATTTATTTTTACCGTTTTCACATAGATTCAATCACAACACAGTTCAGTGGTGGATGTATCACATAGTTAATTTAAACGTACATTTCATCACGATAAAAGGTTCAAAGGTCAGGTAAATTCATAGTCAACAGATACATTGAAATAGCAAGGTATGTTTACATCATTCACACTTCTTACAGGTTCTTTCAAGGCTGCACATTCAACAGGTCAACAGGTCATCAGGTCAACAGGTCAGCAGGTCATCAAAAGGAGAAAAATCAAGAAGGCCGAGATACAAAAATGATCTTACAAAAAAGAGCAAGTTCAGGTTGATGCCTCATGAGCTTAGTGTAATTATCCCATCACAATCCACAATATAAGATGTTTTACTCCATTGTTGGTAAACAATGTAATTGCAAACAAACACTGATTAAATATAGTTCAAACTATCATTTCATCTCATGGATGTTCAGTCTTTGCATCCAGAAGTCTATACATTTTAGTGGTTACATTTCTCGAGCCCTATTCCTCATTTGTTTACCAAACAAGTGACGGGGTGACCGCCATAGAGATCCTATTCAGGATCCTCATCAGGGTGGAGGATTGAGCTGCCTGCCCTTGGACCTGACCAGCACCTCCGACCAGCACCTCTGCTGACCATCTAGCTATGAGCTTCCAGATCCTCTAATGACCGCGACTGTCCATCTGCTGGAGGTTTCAGGAAACACTCAAATACACTTGATTTGGATGACCTAGCTACTGTTGTAGCCTATATTTCTTTTTAAATGACTTCTTGTTGTTTATTTTGCTTAACAAGCGCTTTGAGATTCTGTCTAATGAAAAGCACTATAAAAGTGTAATACATTATTATTATTATTATTATTATTAAATAGAACAATATCCTATCGTTCTAATCCTAATGCTATGGTGACTGCTTTGTTGTTTTATGATTCCTAGATTGCCCCTTTCAAGTCCCAAAGAAGAATGAAGTATAAGTTTATCATCTCTATGTAGCATGTTCCATAACTTGCTACATTTGCACACACTGTATATATATTTTCTGTTGTATTTTTGACTTTATGTTTTGTTTTACCCCACATGTAACTCTGTGTTGTTGTTTTTATCGCACTGCTTTGCTTTATCTTGGCCAGGTCGCAGTTGTAAATGAGAACTTGTTCTCAACTGGCTTACCTGGTTAAATAAAGGTGAAATAAAATAAAAAATAAAATAAAAATTCCAACAATACAGGGCATGGTAACTAATACACTATATATACAAAAGTATATGGACACCCCTTCAAATTAGTGGATTCAGCTATTTCAGCAACACCGTGACAGGTGTATAAAATTGAGCACACAGCCATGCAATCTTCATAGACAAACATTGGCAGTAGAATGGCCTTACTGAAGAGCTCAGTGACTTTCAACGCGGCACCGTCATAGGATACCAACTTTCCAACGAGTCAGTTCGTCAAATGTTTTGCCCTACTAGATCTGCCCCAGTCAACTGTAAGTGCTGTTATTGTGAAATGGAAATATCTAGGAGCAACAACGGCTCAGCAGTGAAGTGGTAGGTCGCACAAGCTCACAGAACGAGTGCTGCAGCGTGAAGCACATAAAAATCATCTGTCCTCGGTTGCAACACTCACTACCGAGTTCCAAACTGCCTCTGGAAGCAACGTCAGCACAAGAACTGTTGGTCAGGGGCTTCATTAAATAGCTTTCCATGGCCGAGCAGCCACACACAAGCCTAAAATCACCATGCGCAATGCGAAGCGTCAGCTGGAGTAGTGTAAAGCTTGCCACCATTGGACTCTGGAGCAGTGGAAACGCGTTCTCTGGAGTGATGAATCACGCTTCACCATCTGGCAGTCCGACAGACAAATCTAAGTTTGGCGGATGCCAAGTTAATGCTACCTACCCCAATGCAGAGCGCCAACTGTAAAGTTGGAGGAATAATGGTCTGGTGTTGTTTATCATGGTTTGGGCTAGGCCCCTTAGTTCCATTGAAGGGAAATCTTAACGCTACAGCATACAATGACATTCTAGACAATTCTGTGCTTCCAACTTTGTAGCAATAGTTTGGGGAAGGCCTTTTCCTTTTTCAACATGACAGTGCCCCCATACACAAAGCGAGGTCCTTACAGAAATGGTTTGTCGAGATCGGTGTGGAAGAACTTGATGACTGGCCTGCACAGAACCCTGACCTCAACCCCATCGAACACCTGCGAGCTAGGCCTAATCGACTGCGAGCCAGGCCTAATCGCCCAACATCAGTGCCCAACCTCACTAAAGCTCTTGTGGCTGAATGGAAGCTAGTCCCCGCAGCAATGTTCCAACATCTAATGGAAAGCCTTCCCAGAAGAGTGGAGGCTGTTATAGCAGCAAAGGGGGACCAACTCCATATTAATGCCCATGATTTTGGAATGAGATGTTCAACATTAATAATAATATGACATTTAGCAGACGCTTTTATCCAAAGCGACTTACAGTCATTCGTGCATACATTTTTGTGTATGGGTGGTCCCGGGGATCGAACCCACTACCTTGGCGTTACAAGCGCCGTGCTCTACCAGCTGAGCTACAGAGGACCACAGAGGTGGAGGAAAGCGAGGAGAGGCAGGCTGTGGGCTGGGTTAGGAATTGGGTTGATGGAAGGGCTGGGGGTTAGACAGAGAGCAGAGGTTGTGGGCTAGGGCATGCAGCTCAGGAGAGATGACTCAGGCGTGGGTGTAGACAGCCGAGATACTAGCCGGGATGGAGGTTAGGCTCTGGAGGCTACGGAGGTTCCTTATCGGCCCAATCAAAACCACAGCTTATGATTTCCCCATTGTACAACATAGTGAAACCGCTTTGCATAAAATGCAGTTCTATTTTCAAATCGACCGCAAGGGACACACTATCGCCTGATGTGTTCTCGCTGTGTGTGTGTGTGTGTGTAAATGAAAGCCTAGCAGAAGCTGTTAATGTTCAAGCAATCACAATGTTCAACATCAAAGTAATTACATTTTCCATCTCCATGCACTATTACAGTTGATAAACCTTAACCTTTTTTTTTTACAAAACAATATATACAAGAAAGGTATATTTCTTAAAAGTAATATTTTTAAACATTAAAACAGTAAACTGAAAGCATAAAATGACGCAGGGAGAATGGCCCTTCTAGTCCACAAGCAGGTGTCCACATACTTTTGGTAATGTAGTGTAGCTACCGGTATCTTTCAAATTCAGAGGAAGAACAAGGTACAGTAAAAATTGGTTATTGGTACAGAGATTATAAATACTTGTGTTCCAGTTAAAAATATGACTGATATAAACAGGACATATTCCTTTGATGGCTTGATCAAATCTGTCAAAGAATCCATCCACGGTGGCCTGATTAGGTCAAGTCTGCCCTCTCATATACACAACAATGATGGGTAAGTGGAACTAATACCATATTATTGCTGACGGGTACAACTATATGATTCTACAATTCATAGGGCATAAGCCTGAGCTAGAGGTTAATTTGCGATTGGCCACAAATCTGGCTCTGTGGTATAGTAATAATACATACTAGCACATATAAATATTTGTGTATAAAACAAATGTACGAGATGATTGTAACTGCCTCTGTCGCCAGTTTATTTCATGTATTAACACTTTAGTTTATTTCTTATTTAATTTCTTCTGAATTGTACGTTTACAGCAAGACGGAACTAATTATTGGTTCCGCCTGAGTGTTGTCACCCGAGCGCCTTTTAGCGACGCACCGAGGAAACTTTACCGCAAAAAACGATTTATTTTTCCACTGTTATCGTGTTTAAGTGCATACTTACAAAGAAAGTATACAGAAGAAGATAAAGGACATTTAAAAGGATGTTTAGCACCTCTGTGTGATAAGCAGCAATGAGGTTTGTTGACTATTTATTTTGCTATGAGGGTGTTTGTGTTTACGTGCGTCATTTTTTGGTGTAAAATATACATAAAGTGTCTAGCTGTATGAGCTTGATTATAACGCCAGATGTGTGAGACATGCATATGGCATTATTTTGTTAATGTATTTTTTCTTTCTTTAAACCAGTTCTCACGGGTTGACCAGCATTAAAGCCCTGTATTCAAATCAAGACCTCTTGCCTCATGCCTGTCACTGGAGGAGCTACAATGATGATGAATCTAGGCACATGTTGATGAATGAAGCGCACAGGTTTACTCTGCTGGTATTATTTGATTATTGTCCACTGGGTGGTGCAATAGTCCCACAGTTTCTGTGTAATGTCTTGAACTGTATGATGTGACCTCAGAGGTCCACCTTTTCTGTGCTTCTGCTCTCATGTCTGATGATGCGCTTTTTTTTTCAACTTGGAGGTGTTCTGCTGGTGCTGGTTCTTCACAGTGAAGTAGACAGTGCATCGCAGGAGAGGGCTGTGGTTCTGGACAGGAGAGTGCTGTGGTTCTGGCCAGGAGAGGGCTGTGGTTCTGGCCAGGTGAGTGCTGTGGTTCTGGTCAGGAGAGTGCTGTGGTTCTGGCCAGGAGAGTGCTGTGGTTCTGGTCAGGAGAGTGCTGTGGTTCTGGCCTCTCTCCCTGGTGAAGTGTTCACTGAGTTATAAGCTCAGTGTCCTGTTTGGAGATGAAACATTAGAACATTTAAATGATTGAAATGATCGTTCTTTAAAACTATTGACTCATATAATGCATAGATGAATGAATGAAAGAGCAGGTACCTCTTCTAGTGAATGTTGTTCTTTAGGGATTTGCCATTTTCTGGCATGTATGATGTATCCAACACCAAGTAACACAGCAACTTGTCAAGCCCTGACTCAGGGGACTCTTATATGTTGAGTCAGGGTGTGAATATTCTATGTTGTGTATATCTATATGAATGATCTAGTATGTGTAGATCTATGTTGGCCGGTGTGGTTCCCAATCAGAGGCAGCTGTCGCTCGTTGTCTCTGATTGGGGATCATATAGCAGCCTATTGGCACTCGTTAGTTGTGGGATCTTGTTCCGTGTGTAGGCTTGTTTTGTGTTTAGCCTTAGGACTTCACGTTTCGTTGGTTTGTTGTTTTGTCATGTGTTTATCATGTAAATAAACATGTACGCATTTCACGCTGCGCCTTGGTCTGACCCGTCCTTAAACGAACGTGACACAACTAAGCTTAATAATACACCAATAACACTACCCACAATGGTGATAACTGGTAACACTGAGGCTTTCCCATCCTCACCACTACCTGTTCACACACACACACACACACACACACACACAGATTAAGAAAAGTGTTCATAAGATAATAGTTTCATACAGGCAGAATTATTCCAATCTTAACTAGAGAAGAATTACAATCATGATATCAAACCTTTGGTCATATTTTATTTTTAATGCCGATAAATTTAACTTTTATTCATATTGTATTATTAGTAGGTTATTAAACAGTGATAGAGGTATGCAGTGAAGGTGACGGCTAAATGGTACTTACAGTCCTCCATGGGTTGAGAGATGGTCTGTGTGCTGACGTGGTTGCTGGTGGTGCATTGGATAGTCCCGTTGCCATTGGAGATGATGATGTTGACCCCAGACAGAGACAGTAACTGTTGTGACCGTGTACACTGACCCCCGCCACAGACAGACAACATCCAGCCATCTTTAACTGAACAGTTCACTGTGACGTCACAGAGTCCCACACTTGTGTTGAAGAGAGACGTGACATCCATAACTGGTTTGGGAACATGATCTACAAGAACCAATGGAGTTGGGAAAGAGATCCCTACATCCATGAGTGGTCTAGAGACTATAATTGTATTAAATATACAAAAAGATGACTACCAGCACAAAAACTTGATTAGGCCTACATGCATTATTGAACCTAATCAGACACATTAAATGTACGGCAAAATTACCAGAACTAAAACCTTACAAAACTCACCCTGCACTGATAGTCTATATGTAGTAGTTGATTCATTCCATTTTTTCCGGTAGTTTGCCTTGTAAATTCCACTGTCTGTGTTCAACAGATTCTTAATGCACAGAGAATGGTTTGCGTTGTTATAGTCCACCTTCTCCTTGTATTTAGGAGAGGTCTCTTTGACTCCAACTATTACATCACTGTTCCTCATCCATTTAAGTCCTTTGATCATCTCAGGAGGTTCTGGAACAGCCAGACATATTGAACCCCCCTTCAACCCATACTGGTCCACTGAAGGTTCCCCCCTGATTCCTAATGAGAGAGGACAAAGATCACATTTAGCATTTCACTGACAGTCATTTGACATTAATGTACAAATTGAGTCAGTAAGTCATTTGCTGCCTAAACTCAAAACTTTTCCAATTACCCGTGTTATGTGCACAAAGTATTATTTCTAGAGTAAATGTCCAAAATCAAAAGTGATTCCTCCACACAATATAATTAATATAATGAATAGGTTACCTGTGGTGATACCTAGCCATAGAAGAAGAAACCCAAGTATTTTCATATTTCTTTTGAAATTGAGAGACTAACTCTGCCTTCTTCTGTCAAAGTTCAGTCGCCTAATGATGCAATTTTAAACTCCTCCTCAGTGGAAGTGGAAGTTCTATATCGTGGAGCTCTGCCCCATAATGGGGAGAGAACGGAGAGAAAAGAGCCCTTTTCCATAATACATCCGAGAGCGTTCGACCTTCCTCACTCTTGCTCTCTCTCTTACCACTATGAGTGCAGCTCATCCCACCATGGTGCGTTGCTGAACGCACACATAAGGCAGGTGTGTAAAAGGTATTAAGTGTACCTTATAAAGACCTCACTTTACAGACTCCTATGAGTGCTGTAGTGAGTGTCTCACATAGCAGGCTGCAGTCTCAGCCAGATAATGGCATGATGACGCGACCGCTATTCGGGACGGCGCTCTGTCTCAGGCTAGTGCCTTAGTCAGGGCGGCTCAGTACCGTGCTGCGTTCACGGAGGGCCTGATTACTACGGTTACGGGCGTAACCAACGTATCGGCGCCCCCTGTTCTCACAGAACGTATTGATTCTCACCACTCTGTATGTAGCTCGACTCACCAGAGGTGTGTAACTGAGCATACACAGGAGGCGAATGTGAGGAAGGTATTAGGGCACAGCCCTGTGTTACCGAGGAGAGACCTCATGTCACAGACTCCTAGGAGCTCTGTAGAGAGAGTCTCACACGACAGATTGCAGTCTCGGTCAGAGTATGACATGATGACGCGATCTACATATGGGGATGTCGCCCTGTCTCAGGCTAATGCCTTGTCAGTGCAGTACAGACTCATACTGCGTTCAAGGAGGGCCGGAATACTAGAGTTACAGGACGTAACCAACGTATCGGCGCCCCCGTTTAACACAGAACGCAATGATACCCACTCCTCTGAGTGTAGCTCAGCCCACCATGAGTGCGCAGCTGAGCAGACTCATGTGACTAGTGATAAAGAGGTATCATGGCGCCACCTTGTGGTACATGTTAGAAGGTGCCCAGTGTATCGGCCCACTTCTCTCTGAACGCGCCATTACTCACCACACTGAGTGTAGTTCAGCCCACCAGAGGTGCAGAGCTGAACGCACACAGGAGGTGAAAGGAGAAAAGATACCGAGACGCCGTCTTGGTATATCTCAAAGAGACCTCACATTACAGACTCCAAGGAGTATTGTAGTGAGTGCCTCTCAGAGTAGGCTACAGCCTCAGTCAGGTGACATGAGGACACAGCCACTGTTTGGGGATGGCGCACTATCGCAGACTAGGGTCTCGGTTAGTGCGATTCAGACCCACGCTGCGTTCACGGAGGGCCAGATTACGAAGGTTACGAGAATAACTGACGTATCTGAGCCCCACTTCTCACATAACGCGCTAATACTCACACTGAGTGTGATTCACCAGGGGTGCAGAGTTGAACACACACAGAAGTGAAGGCTAAGAAGGTATCAAGGCGCCGCCTTGGGTTACTTCATAGAGACCTCATATTACAGACTCCTAGGAGTGTTGTAGTGAGTGGCTCTAATTGCGAATTGCAGGCATCTACGATGACGCAATCGCTTACTGGGGATGGTGCCCTGTCGCAGGCTGTGGCCTCGGTCAGTGCAATTCAGACCCGTGTTGCGTTCACGGAGGGCAGGAGTTCGACGGTTACGAGATTAACTGACGTTTCTGCCCCCCTTTGGGTTCAGAACGCACCAATGTTTCCTCTCCCTTTCATGGGAGGCCCGCCTTGGGCTGTTCCACCTCCTCAGTGTCGAGGAACAGCGGCGGCAAGGGCCATAGAGGAATACAGGTCCTTCCTACTGAATGTACCACAGCTTCGCGCTCGGCCACTTTCTCTGCATTGCTGACAGTGGCAGCGAAGCTGCACCCTCTCACGCTGGCTAGAACAGACGTTGCAGAAGGGTTATGCTCTCCAATTCCATCGGACCCCACCCCCATTCAGGGGAGTGGTGGAGACGGTGATGAAAACGGCCGAAAAAGTGGCCGTTCTGGTTTCAGAGATTACGTAACTTTTGGCGAAGGAGGCGGTCACAGTGGTTCCCCAGGAGCAAAGGAACAAGGGGCTATATTCACCCTACTTCCTAGTGCCCAAAAAGACAGGGGGGAATGAGGCCGATATTGGATTTACGCATTCTCAACGAGAGCGTAACCAAACGGCCCTTTCGAATGCTAACGACAAAACGTCTACTGGAATGTGTCCAGAAAGGAGACTTTTGTACGAGCATAGACCTAAAGGACGTGTACTTTCATGTGCCGGTACAGCCGCGTCACAGGAAGTTTCTGCGATTCGCTTTTCAAGGGGTGGCGTACGAATACGAGGATGCCATTTGGGTACGCCCTGGCACCTCGCACGTTTTCCAAGTGTGTAGAGGCGGCATTGGAGCCGTTGCGTCGTCAGGGAATACGGCTATTAGCCTACCAAGACGACCTACTGGTTCTCGCCCCGTCAGCAGAGCTGACGTTCATTCACACGACACAGACAGTGATTCATTTCACGCGTCTGGGGTTCGCTGTGAATTGGAAAAAGAGCACGCCCTGGCCCAGTCATCAGATTGTCTACCTGGGGATACTGCTAGACACTGTAATAATGAGGGCTCTAATCCCCCTTAAAATGTTATTTTGAAGACACTGCTGCTCGCTTTGACCACTGCTAAACGTGTCAGTGATTGTGGGCTCTTTCGACGAGATCCGACTGCTTGGCCATTTATGGCGTTTGAGCAGGACGGTGTTAAGTCTTTACCCGGTATTTATACCTGAGGTTATTAAGAGCTTATATAGATTACAGACCGTAGAGCTGTGGGCCTTCTCTCCCTCTCGCCAGGTTGAGAGGAGAGAGGAACGGCTCTATCGCCTGTGCCCAGTGCGCGCCTTGGCCCGCTACGTGGAGCGCAAGGCGGTGATTAGGTCATCGCCTCAGCTGCTTTTTGTGTGTCACGGTGCGGCTGCACTCGGTAGACCACATTATAAACAGCGTCTGTCTCATTGGGTTTGTAAGACATTGAGACTGTTTATGAGGCGGCAGGGCGGCAATTGCCTTTGGGTAGAAGAGCCCAACCCACTCGTGGAGTAGCGGCTTCTATGACCTTTTCAGAGGAACATGTGTAGAGGATAATTGCGCAGCGGCGTCTTGATTGTCACCGTCTCCTTTTATCAATTTCTACCTGTTAGATATGTCTTCTAACTCTCTGGTTCAGTCTGCACTCAGTGTAGCTGATGGAAGGACTGGAACTAAAGAAAAAAGATGCAGGACCAGGGGGCTGGGTTCCCATTAGGCCGGCTTTTTTCTGAGAGAGACATGACTCCTGACTGAGGTTATCAGTACAATAGAGGTAATGTATTTTGACCTGCCCACCAGTGTATAACTGTGTTGGAGCGGGAAGATGAGGGAAATAGTTTTTGTAACCTTGTATTACATTACTATTAAACTCAAGTATTACGTTCCTGCCCACTAGTTTTGGGTTTCCTTGAACTAGGGGCGGCGTGTTACTGAAGGCACAGTGTTCAGCGACATTTTGTGTTGCGACACTGTAGTACCAGTAGTTACAGGGATATTAGAGTATTAACTGTCTGCTGTGTTCAGTTCAGTTTTTAGCTCATGTCCTCCATTCTAGAGATGTCTTTTAACCCTCCCGTTCAGTTTGTACTCAGCGTAGCTGATGGGAAGACGTGAACTAAGAGAAAACAATGCAGGACTGTAGGGGCTGGTCTCCATCAGGTCCGCTCTTTTTCTAGGAGAGAGACATATATAATAATAATAATATGCCATTTAGCAGACGCTTTTATCCAAAGCGACTTACAGTCATGCGTGCATAATTTTTTTTGGGGTGTATGGGTGGTCCCAGGGATCAAACCCACTACCTTGGCGTTACAAGCGCCGTGCTCTACCATCTGAGCTACAGAGGACCACATATGGCATGACTCCTGACTGACGTGTTTCAGTACAGTAGTAGGCATGTTATTGATCGGCCCACCAGTGCATAACTGGGTTGGGGCGGAATGATGAGGGGAAATAGTGTTTGTAACTTTGTTTACATTACTATTAGACCGGTCATATATATTGACGGAATTGTGACGTCATTTATCTGCTTGTTCAGATTAGTATGACTCATGTTCTGGAGTCTACCCACTAATCTTTGGGGATCCATAGATTGAGTGTGGTGGATTACCGAATTCACAGTGTAGAGTGACACTTTGTGTCATTCCATTAGTGATCGGTTTTGTTTTGACAGGATATGGAGGCACCACCTATCTGCTAGTTCAGATTAGTATGGTTCATGTTCTGGATACTACCCACCAATCTTTGGGCCTCCATAGATTGAGTGTGGTGGGTTACCGTATACACATTGTAGAGTGACACTGTGTGTCACTCCATTAGTGGGCGGTATGGTTGTAACAGGATATCTGTGCAGCGGCGTCGTGGTCGTCACCGTCTCCATTTATCCGTTTCTATCTACATTTACATTTACATTTTAGTCATTTAGCAGACGCTCTTATCCAGAGCGACTTACAGGAGCAATTAGGGTTAAGTGCCTTGCTCAAGGGCACATTTACGTCATTTAGCAGACGCTCTTATCCAGAGCGACTCACCAATTGGTGCGTTCACCCTGTAGCCAGTGGGATAACCACTTTACAATGTTTGGGGGGGGGGTAGAAGGATTACTTTATCCTATCCCAGGTATTCCTTAAAGAGGTGGGGTTTCAAATGTCTCCGGAAGGTGGTGAGTGACTCCGCTGTCCTGGCGTCGTGAGGGAGCTTGTTCCACCATTGGGGTGCCAGAGCAGCGAACAGTTTTGACTGGGCTGAGCGGGAACTATGCTTCCGCAGAGGAAGGGGAGCCAGCAGGCCAGAGGTGGATGAACGCAATGCCCTCGTTTGGGTGTAGGGACTGATCAGAGCCCGAAGGTACAGAGGTGCCGTTCCCCTCACTGCTCCATAGGCAAGCACCATGGTCTTGTAGCGGATGCGAGCTTCAACTGGAAGCCAGTGGAGTGTGCGGAGGAGGGGGGTGACGTGAGAGAACTTGGGAAGGTTGAACACCAGACGGGCTGCGGCATTCTGGATGAGTTGTAGGGGTTTAATGGCACAGGCAGGGAGGCCAGCCAACAGCGCAGCGAGTTGCAGTAGTCCAGACGGGAGATGACAAGTGCCTGGATTAGGACCTGTGCCGCTTCCTGTGTAAGGCAGGGTCGTACTCTCCGAATGTTGTAGAGCATGAACCTGCAGGAGCGGGTCACCGCCTTGATGTTGGCGGAGAACGACAGGGTGTTGTCCTGTCCAGGGTCACGCCTAGGCTCTTCGCACTCTGGGAGGAGGACACAGCGGAGTTCAGACAGGTCTAGAAGGACAAGAGCAGAGGAGAGAGAGTTAGCTTTAGCAGTGCGGAGAGCCTCCGTGACACAGAGAAGAGCAGTCTCAGTTGAATGACCAGTCCTGAAACCTGACTGGTTAGGATCAAGAAGGTCATTCTGAGAGAGATAGCAAGAGAGTTGGCTAAAGACGGCACGCTCAATAGTTTTGGAAAGAAAAGAAAGAAGGGATACTGGTCTGTAGTTGTTGACATCAGTGGGATCGAGTGTTGGTTTCTTGAGAAGGGGAGCAACTCTCGCTCTCTTGAAGACGGAAGGGACATGGCCAGCGGTCAAGGATGAGTTGATCAGCGAGGTGAGGTAGGGGAGAAGGTCACCGGAGATGGTCTGGAGAAGAGAGGAGGGGATGGGGTCAAGCGGGCAGGTTGTTGGGCGGCCTGCAGTCACAAGTCGCAGGATTTTATCTGGAGAGAGAGGGGAGAAAGAAGTCAAAGCATAGGGTAGGGCAGTGTGAGTAGGACCAGCAGTGTCATTAGTCATCCACAGAGAGAGAGGAGGGGGGGGGCGGGGGGGGGGGAGGATTCAGGAGGGAGGAAAATGTGGCAAAGAGCTTCCTAGGGTTAGAGGCAGATGCTTGGAATTTAGAGTGGTAGAAAGTGGCCTTAGCAGCAGAAACAGATGAAGAAAATGTAGAGAGGAGGGAGTGAAAAGATGCCAGGTCGGCAGGGAGTTTAGTTTTCTTCCATTTCCGCTCCGCTGCCCGGAGCTCTGTTCTGTGAGCTCGCAATGAGTCATCAAGCCACGGAGCTGGAGGGGAGGACCGAGCCGGCCGGGAGGATAGGGGACACAGAGAGTCAAAGGATGCAGAAAGGGAGGAGAGGAGGGTTGAGGAGGCAGAATCAGGAGATTGGAGGGAGAAGGATTGAGCAGAGGGAAGAGATGATAGGATGGAAGAGGAGAGAGTAGTGGGAGAGAGAGAGCGAAGGTTGCGGTGGCGCATTACCATCTGTGTAGGGGCAGAGTGAGTAGTGTGGGAGGAGAGCGAGAGAGAAAAGGAAACAAAGTAGTGGTCGGAGACATGGAGGGGAGTTGCAGTGAGATTAGTAGAAGAGCAGCATCTAGTAAAGATGAGGTCAAGCGTATTGCCTGCCTTGTGAGTAGGGGGGGACGGTGAGAGGGTGAGGTCAAAAGAGGAGAGAAGTGGAAAGAAGGAGGCAGAGAGAAATGAGTCAAATGTGGACATAGGGAGGTTGAAATCCCCCAAAACTGTGAGGGGTGAGCCTCACAGTGGCTCGGTCTGTACTCAGCGTAGCTGAAGGGATACCTTGAGCTAGAAGGAGAGGAAAAGCAGGACTGTGGACCTTGAGCTAGAAGGAGAGGAAAAGCAGGACTGTGGACACAGGTTTCCATCAGGTCCGCTTTGGATAGGAAGACATGTTTTGTAGATATGGCTTTTAACTCTTTCGTTCGATCTGTACTCGGCATAGCTGAAGGGAGATCTTGAGCTAGAAGGAGAGGAAAAGCAGGACTGTGGACATAGGTTTCCATCAGGTCCGCTTTGGATAGGAAGGCATGTTTTTTGGCATGACTCCAGACTGACTGGTTCAGTACAGTAGAGGGCATGTATTGATCTGCCCACCAGTGATTCACTGGAGTGAGGCGGAATGATAGGTGATAATAGTAGGAACTTGGTTACGATACTATTGGATCTGTCATAACAATGGAATGGAATGTGAGGTCATCTATCTGCTTGTTCAGTTTAGTATGACTCATGTTCTGTTTTCTGCCCACTAATCTCTGGGGTTCCATTGAGTGAGTGAGGCGGTCTACCGTGTACACAATGTAGAGTGACACTTGGTGTCATTCCATTAGTGGTCGGTAGTTTTTTCACAGGATATTGAGGCACATCTATCTGCTAGTACAGATTAGTATGGCTTCTATTCTGGTGATCTGCCCACTAGTCATTGGCATTGCCATTGGACTAGGTGGGGCGGGTTTTTAACCGATGACGCGGTATATTGTGACGCCCGTATGGGTTCAGTAGTTGCAGTACTGCGGGAATTGGTTGCAGCCATTGCTAGGCCTGACCTTTTCATTTTTAATGGGAAGTGTTAGGCTCGGCAGGGAGTACATTTTGGAGCGCTACGCTCCGCCTTAAACCACTAGGAGCAGAGCTCCCCTATGGGGCGGAGCTCCACGATATAGAATGATTAGTTACCGGAGTGTAACTCCAGTTCTATGAGTGGAGCGGAGCCCCATAGGACTTAAGGCCCTGCCGACCCTCTCTAGTCTCGCTGAAGATAAATATCTCGGGAGGCTGATTGAGGGGAGGCATCCCCTCTTATAGGGACACCTGTACTCCTATTGGCTGCAGGTTTGTGCATAATTTTGTCTCAGGCTGATGCTGCCTTAGGGCAGAGGGTAAACCACTAGGAGCAGAGCTCCCCTATGGGGCTCCGCTCCACTCATAGAACTGGAGTTACACTCCGGTAACTAATCGTTCAACATCTTGTTTTGATTTACATTTGGTTGAGTTGTCAACTAATCATGAATTCAACGTGAAATCAACAAAACATTTCACCAAGTCATTGGATTTAGGTTAAACGTTGGGTGAAAAAAAGATACAATTCGATTACTTTTTGCAAATCCAATCTGTTTTCCACGTTGATTGAAATGATGTGGAAACAACATTGATTCACCAGTTTTTGCCCAGTGGGATATTGCTAATACCTGTCCAATTCAGATCCATGTAGTTCATAGGCCATAGTGAAATGTCCCACAGTTTCTGTGCAATGTCTAGAACAGATGTAACCCAATGTATGATGTTATCTCAGAGGAAGTCCTATTCTGCGGTCCTTAGACCTGGTGATGCGCTTCCTGTGTCAACTGAGTTATGTTGGTTTCTTCTCAGTGACAAAGACAGGAAGTGTCTCAGGAGGACGCTATGGTTCTGGAGTTGGAAGCACTTGGACAATGACCTGCTTAGAGATAAAACATTAAATATTACAATAACATTTGTATTCTTCTTTTTTTTTTGTAGTTATAATGTATTCATAAATGAATGAAAGAGAAAGTACCTTTTCTAGTGAATGTTCTTTAGGAGTCGCCATTGTTCTGGCATGTTTGATGTATCTAACCCATAACACAGCTAACACAGCTAACACATCAACTAAGATTAATCCACCAATAACAGCATCCACAATGGCGCCTGGTATTGCTGAAGCTTTTCCATCCTTCTCACCACTACCTGAGGTCACACACAGAGAACAGACAGTTTAATCCTTATAGAATTACTTAAATAACAATAGATTCGGTCAAATAATCATCATAGACCAATAGTTTGACATAGACAGAATTATTAAGATGTTTTCGCTGGAGAGGATTTATAACTGCATTTATATAAAAACTGTTTATATTTATTATTCATACCAATGAATGTAACTTTTATTCATATTATATTATTAGTAGGTTATTAAACAGTGATAGAGGTATACAGTGAAGGTGACGGCTAAATGGTACTTACAGTCCTCCATGGGTTGAGAGATGGTCTGTGTGCTGACGTGGTTGCTGGTGGTGCATTGGATAGTCCCGTTGCCATTGGAGATGATGATGTTGACCCCAGACAGAGACAGTAACTGTTGTGACCGTGTACACTGACCCCCGCCACAGACAGACAACATCCAGCCATCTTTAACTGAACAGTTCACTGTGACGTCACAGAGTCCCACACTTGTGTTGAAGAGAGACGTGACATCCATAACTGGTTTGGGAACATGATCTATGAGAGAACCAAAGAAGAGTTGAGAAATATTAGGCCTACATGCATTACTGATCTGGAGATTTTTAAGGTGTCCACCATATTGCATTCACCCATAATGCAACTCTAGAACCTGATGCAACTTCAAAATCAGTGTAAATGAAGGAGAGGAGAAAAGGAAAGGTCACTGACTATTGAGATGGACCCAATGTGTCACGATCGTCTAAGGAGGAGGACCAAGGCGCAGCGTTGAATGTGAACATATTTATTTAATATGATGATCACACGATCAAAACAACAAAAGGACGACGTGATAGTCAATGGTCATACACAAACCAAAATACGAACAAGAAACCACAAACACAAAGTGAAAGACAGACAGTTAAATATGGCTCCCAATCAGAGACAACCAGCTGACACTCGCTGCCTCTGATTGGGAGTCACTCAGGCCAACATAGAAATACAACATATAGACTATCCACACCCTGGCTCAACATATAGAGTCCCAGAGCCAGGGTGTGACAGTACCCCCCCCCTAAAGGCGCGGACTGCGACCGCGCCTAAACGTACACAAACCAGGGGAGGGCTGGGTGGGCATTCCTCCTCGGAGGCGGTTCCGGTTCCGGGCTTGACCACCACCCTTCCACCATCCCCCCGTGGCGCCCCTGGTCCGGTCTGGCCCCGCTGGCTGGAGCTGGACCGGACATCGTTGAAGCGGACCGCTTAGGCTCCGGTGTGGAGCAGCTGACCGGTACCTTACCAGGCACCGGTGACCCAGGCACGGGTTGTGCGGGACTGACAACGCGCACCCCTGGCTTGGTGCGTGGAGTAGGAACGGGCCGGACCGGGCTGACGATGCGCACCCCTGGCTTGGTGCGTGGAGTAGGAACGGGCCGGACCGGGCTGACGATGCGCACCCCTGGCTTGGTGCGTGGAGTAGGAACGGGCCGGACCGGGCTGACGATGCGCACCCCTGGCTTGGTGCGTGGAGTAGGAACGGGCCGGACCGGGCTGACGATGCGCACCCCTGGCTTGGTGCGTGGAGTAGGAACGGGCCGGACCGGGCTGACGATGCGCACCCCTGGCTTGGTGCGTGGAGTAGGAACGGGCCGGACCGGGCTGACGATGCGCACCCCTGACTTGGTGCGGGGAGCAGGAACAGACCGGACCGTACTGGGGACACACACCACTGGCCCTACACCGGGATCTGGAACGGGCCGGACCGGACTGGCAACACACGCCAGTACCTCTCGCCGTGCCTCTACATCCTCCATCCCCTCTTCGACCAGTGGCCCCCGTAACCTGGCGGCCTCCTCTGGCAACCCGCTGGGCCGCTCTATCGCGGCCTCCTGCTGGTCCGACGTCGTGAGCCCCCCCCCTAAAAATTTTCTGGGAGTCTCTCTTCCCCGTGGGCCAGGCCTCGATAATTCTCGCCCAACTCTCGCTCTTCTGCTTCCAATCTCCGCCATTCAGCTCCTCATTCGGCTTGACCCAGTCGAAGCTCTGCCTCCACTGTTGCCAAGTCCACCCACTCTGCTCCTCACTAGGCTGCTTGGTCCAGTTCTGGTGGTTTCTTCTGTCACGATCGTCTAAGGAGGAGGACCAAGGCGCAGCGTTGAATGTGAACATATTTATTTAATATGATGATCACACGATCAAAACAACAAAAGGACGACGTGATAGTCAATGGTCATACACAAACCAAAATACGAACAAGAAACCACAAACACAAAGTGAAAGACAGACAGTTAAATATGGCTCCCAATCAGAGACAACCAGCTGACACTCGTTGCCTCTGATTGGGAGTCACTCAGGCCAACATAGAAATACAACATATAGACTATCCACACCCTGGCTCAACATATAGAGTCCCAGAGCCAGGGTGTGACACAATGTCAAATGTATCAATCAACATACATGTTGATGGCTGAAGCTGCAATGCTACGTTGAATCTTCTAGAATACAGCAAATTACCAGAACTGAAACCTTAGAAAACTCACCCTGCACTAATAGTCTATATGTAGTAGTTGATTCTTTCCAACTTTTCCGGTAGTTTACCATATCAATTCCACTGTCTGTGTTCATTATGTATGAAGGGAAGAGCGTGGGAGAGGGAGGTAACCAGCACCGTACACATCTGAAATGAATGTTGAAACACAGTCTCTATGGGGATATGGGCATAGTGCTTTCCCAGGCTGCCACACATGGCATTCATACAAACATTCACGGATTATTTATTAATAATATTTATTTATTTATTATTATTATTATTATTTCAATAGCTCATAAAGGGATGAACAGTTTGACATGTGTTGTTGTATTGTATGTGTAATGGAATTCCCTTTTTAGAGTGACTGCGTCGAATCTGTCTGTTGAGCTGGCCGCTTATCAGATGGGAAAATTCCTGTCTTGTCCTCAAACTGAAATGTAAGAATTTGATAATTAGATTACAGAATGTGTGTGTGATGTTCCGGCAGAGACGCATAGGTTCTATTGCATTTAGTCACATGATAATGGAGTCAGATTGATAAATACATGTAATTATTAAACATAATTCTAAATAACTACAGTATTTCAGATGTTAACATATTGAACAATGCTCAGTACAGTGTATCTACCGACACCACATCACTATGGACTTCCTTCCATCAAACCTCCACAGCAGAAACCACATTGTTTTTCTGAAATATAGAAAATGCTTTGAGGGGGAAGGGGAGTTTACTAAGCCACGGTCTACATCCTACTTTGACTGAGCGAGCACCTAGTTACATCCTGAACTGCATACTACTTGTAGTTTACCACCACAGGGTCTCAACATTTCGACATAGACAGGAAGTCAAACTTAATCTATCAATATTTGGAAATGAAATCTCTGTTTTTGCTACACATCTGTTGGCTGGAAATAATCGCAGGTATCTAAACTCTTCATACCTTTTACATGTAATGAATTCTAGAGTTAAAGGAGGTGTACCCTCTGGGACTTGGAGGTAGCTATTGGGTATCCTGCTGTAGGCCTAATTATTCATCCTTTTGGAACACATGCCATAGATTGGTATAGATGAGATACTTTGAACATGAGTGATCTGAACACATGCTATAGATTGGTATAGATGAGATACTTTAAACCATGAGTGATCTGAACACATGCCATAGATTGGCATAGATGAGATGCTTTGAACATGAGTGATCTGAACACATGCCATGGATTGGTATAGATGAGATACTTTGAACATGAGTGATCTGAACACATGCCATAGATTGGTATAGATGAGATACTTTGAACATGAGTGATCTGAACACATGCCATAGATATGTATAGATGAGATACTTTAAACCATGAGTGATCTGAACACATGCCATAGATTGGTATAGATGAGATACTTTGAACATGAGTGATCTGAACACATGCCATAGATTGGTATAGATGAGATACTTTGAACATGAGTGATCTGAACACATGCCATAGATTGGCATAGATGAGATGCTTTGAACATGAGTGATCTGAACACATGCCATAGATTGGTATAGATGAGATACTTTGAACATGAGTGATCTGAACACATGCCATAGATTGGTATAGATGCGATACTTTGAACATGAGTGATCTGAACAAATGCCATAGATTGGTATATATGAGATACTTTAAACCATGAGTGATCTGAACACATGCCATAGATTGGTATAGATGAGATACTTTGAACATGAGTGATCTGAACACATGCCATAGATTGGTATAGATGAGATACTTTGAACATGAGTGATCTGAACACATGCCATAGATTGGTATAGATGAGATACTTTGAACATGAGTGATCTGAACACATGCCATAGATTGGTATAGATTAGATACTTTAAACCATGAGTGATCTGAACACATGCCATAGATTGGTATAGATGAGATACTTTGAACATGAGTGATCTGAACACATGCCATAGATTGGTATAGATGAGATACTTTAAACCATGAGTGATCTGAACACATGCCATAGATTGGTATAGATGAGATACTTTGAACATGAGTGATCTGAACACATGCCATAGATTGGTATATATGAGATACTTTAAACCATGAGTGATCTAAACACATGCCATAGATTGGCAAAGATGAGATGCTTTGAACATGAGTGATCTGAACACATGCCATAGATTGGTATAGATGAGATACTTTGAACATGAGTGATCTGATCACATGCCATAGATTGGTATAGATGAGATACTTTAAACCATGAGTGATCTGAACACATGCCATAGATTGGTATAGATTAGATACTTTAAACCATGAGTGATCTGAACACATGCCATAGACTGGTATAGATTAGATACTTTAAACCATGAGTGATCTGAACACATGCCATAGATTGGTATAGATGAGATACTTTGAACATGAGTGATCTGAACACATGCCATAGATTGGTGTAGATGAGATACTTTAAAACATATTGGAGTAATCCCAGCAGCCCAGCTAACAATGTTTGGTTTAAATGTGACCCCGTTCCTCTGTCATTAGGAATCAGGGTGGAACCTTCAGTGGACCAGTATGGGTTGAAGGGGGGTTCAATATGTCTGGCTGTTGCAGAACCTGAGATTCTCAAAGGACTTCAATGGAAGACGGGCAGTGATGTAATAGTTAGTGATAAAGAGATTTCTCCTAAATATAAGGAGAAAGTGGATTATAACTCTGTCAACCATTCTCTGTGTATTAAGAATCTGCTGAACACAGACAGTAGAATTTACATGGGAAGTGCAATTAATCAGAGAGACTGGACTGATTCAACTACCACATACAGACTAAAGGTGCTTGGTGAGTTTTGTGAAGTTTTTGTGCTGGTAGTCGTCTTTTTGTTTATTCAATACAATTAAAGTATCTAGACCACTCATAGATGTATGGATCTCTTTCCCAACTCCATTGGTTCTTGTAGATCATGTTCCCAAACCAGTTATGGATGTCACGTCTCTCTTCAACACAAGTGTGGGACTCTGTGACGTCACAGTGAACTGTTCAATTAAAGATGGCTGGATGTTGTCTGTCTGTGGCGGGGGTCAGTGTACACGGTCACAACAGTTACTGTCTCTGTCTGGGGTCAACATCATCATCTCCAATGGCAACGGGACTATCCAATGCACCGGCAGCAACCACGTCAGCACACAGACCATCTCTCAACCCATGGAGGACATATGTAAGGTCCATTCTAGCATTCATTTGGAGATCTACCCGTGAGGTTAGAAGCTGAACCTCATGTTGATATTGTGTAGTCATTCTGTAATATCTCTGTCATTGTTTAATACTAAATGATGCGATATCATACATTGTAAAAAATATATCCACAGGGAAAAGCACACACAGGATATCAAAGTTATATGTTTAGTATTTTTATTTATTTAGAGCCAACACATAAACACCCAATATTTTGACTAGGTCTTTTTTTAAATGAATTTCTCAATTTGACAAAAGCTCTGACGAAGGCCTTGAGGCCGATACGTAAAGCTTATTAAAGAGCAGTGACACAATCAGGAGCAGTGATACTATCAGGAGCAGTGTGCAGGCTTCTTCTTTTTTCTCCCATTGACCTTTTTTGGAATTAGCACCGCAAACATCTACTTGGAACAGTTGATTTAATCTTGGCTGCAAGGACTTTTGTTTGAACGATATGATACATAAACGGTACCTGCCATAAAGTAATGTTGACTGTTGGAAACAATTAACATCACATTAGACCAAACGTGTTAATGAAATATTGTATTTTTGGCTCTGAGAGGGTAACCCAGATTGTGTGTCCCAGGTATTGGTGAGAAGGACGGCAAAGCTTCAGCATTATCAGTCAGGACCATTGTGGCCAATACTGTTCGATCAGTGTTTGTTTATGTTGGATTGGCAGGCACCATAATGGCCATCATAAAGGTCAAAAGATGGATATCCTCAAAAGAAGTTGACTCAACTCAGGTACTTCCTGTGAAATGCATTTGACTTTTTATAAATATATTATTTTAATTTAATTTTAAATTGTTTTACTTTGTAAGCTTTGTTGAATGAAGATTTGATGTAATTGTAATGTCTCATCTTTAGGAAGTCATCGTTGACACCTCAGTGAATGATTCAGCAGAGGTGAGGCCAGAACCACTTGGCCCTCCTGAGGTAGAAACACTTTACAGAAATATGCAGAAACCAGGACAGCAACAATAAATGGACTTCACCCAACTGACCAGCATTTTTTATTACAGACTGTAATATCATGGGACAAATATTGAACCCATATTTCATTTAGTATTATCTGCAGTGTTTCGCTTAAAGGGAGAGCCGTGTCGGGTCGACTTCCACAACAACTAAGAGCATTGAAGCATGAGGCTAAACTCTGCATGTTCTGATGTGAAGCACACCCTACACATGAACATATACTCTGTGAGTACAACGTCTTGCTTCTGTGGTTCATTCTGTTTTTGGAATGTTGAATGTCTGTCACGCCCTGGCTCAGGGGACTCTCGTATGTTGAGCCAGGGTGTTAGTTTCTATGTTTTGGTTGTGGGTTCTAGGTTATTGTATTTCTTTGTTTGAGTGACTCCCAATCAGAGGTAACGAGTGTCAGCTGTTGGCTCGTTGTCTCTGATTGGGAGCCATATTTAACTATCTGTCTTTCACGTTGTGTTTGTGGTTTCTTGTTCTCAGTTTGGTTTGTGTATGTAACCAGAGACATCACGTTTTCGTCCGTTATTTTGATCGTGTGATCAGTTTAATAAATAATACTATGTTCACCTTCAACGCTGCGCATTGGTCCTCCTCCTCATTGTTAGACAAGCGTGACAGAAGAAACCACCAAGATGGGACCAAGCAGCATGAAGAGGAGAGCGGAAGGACCTTGGATCAGGGGAGTAGGAGTTTCGGCTGGGCCACGCTTAGTGAAGAGGAGAGAGGCTGGTCGATGAAGCAATGGATCGAGGTTCTGGCGAGAACTAGGGAGGCCTGGTCCACGGGGAGAAGAGAACCCCAGAAATTTTTTAGGGGGGGGCTCACGACATGGACGACGGGGCAGCAGGAGGCCGCGATGGAGCGGTCCAGCGGGTGTGAAGAGGAGGCCGCCGGGTTACGGGGGCCACTGGTAGAAGAGGGGATGGAAGGTGTGGAGGCACGGCGAGAGGTACTGGCGTGTGTTGCCAGTCCGGTCCGGCCCGTTCCAGATCCCGGTGTAGAGTCAGTTGTGTGTGTCCCCAGTACGGTCCGGTCTATTCCTGCTCCCCGCACCGAACCTGCGGTGCGCGTCGCCAGTCCAGTCCGGCCCATTCCTGCTCCCCGCACCAGGTCTGTGGTGCGCGTCGCCAGCCCAGTCCGGTCCATATTCCTGCTCCCCGCCGTCAAGTCTGTGGTGCGTCTCGTCAGCCCGGCTCTGCCACGTTTCCTGGCTCTCCACACCAGGTCTGTGGTGCGCGTCGCGCCAGCCCGGTCCGGCCATCCAAGCTTCCCGCACCAAGTCTATGGTGAGTTTCGTCAGCCCTGTCCGGCCCCGTTCCTGCTCTCCGCACCAGGTCTGTGGTGCGCGTCGCAATATCTCGAAGTGCTGTACAGAAACCCAGCCTAAAACCCCAAACAGCTAGTAATGCAGGTGTAGAAGCACGGTGGCTAGGAAAAACTCCTAGAAAGGCAAAACCTAGGAAGAACCTAGAGAGGAACCAGGCTATGAGGGGTGGCCAGTCCTCTTCTGGCTGTGCCGGGTGGAGATTATAACAGAACCATGCCAAGATGTTCAAAATGTTCATAGTGACAAGCATGGTCAAATAATAATCAGGAATAAATCTCAGTTGGCTTTTCATAGCCGATCATTAGAGTTTAAACAGCAGGTCTGGGACAGGTAGGGGTTCCATAACCGCAGGCAGAACAGTTTAAACTGGAATAGCAGCAAGGCCAGGCGGACTGGGATAGCAAGGAGTCACACGGCCGGTGTCCCGACGTATGTCCTAGGGCTCAGGTCTCTCAGTTGGCTTTTCATAGCCGATCATTTAGAGTTGAAACAGCAGGTCTGGGACGTAGGGGTTTCGTAGCCGCAGGCAGAACAGTTGAAACTGGAATAGCAGCAAGGCCAGGCGGACTGGGGGCAGCAGGGTGTCATCATGCCCGGTAGTCCTGACGTATGGTCCTAGGGCTCAGGTTCTCAGAGAGAAAGAGAGAAACGAGAGAATTAGAGAGAGCATACTTAAATTCAACACAGGACACTGGATAAGACAGGAGAAGTACTCCAGGTATAACCAACTAACCCCAGCCCCCGACACATAAACTACTGCCATAAATACTGGAGGCTGAGACAGGAGCGGTCCGGAGACACTGTGGCCCCATCCGAAGAAACCCCCGGACAGGGCCAAACAGGAAGGATATAACCCCCACCCTCCGCCAAAGCACAGCCCCCGCACCACTAGAGGGATATCCCCAACCACCAACTTACAATCCTGAGACAAGCCGAGTATAGCCCACAGAGGTCTCCACCACAGCACAAACCAGGGGGGGGGGGCGCCAACCCAGACAGGAAGATCACGTCAGTAACTCACCCACTCAAGTGACGCACCCTCCCAGGGACGGCATGAAGAGCACCAGCAGGCCAGTGACTCAGCCCCTGCAACAGGGTTAGAGGCAGAGAACCCCAGTGGAGAGGGGAACCGGCCCGGCAGAGACAGCAAGGGCTGTTCGTTGCTCCAGCCTTTCCGTTCACCTTCAACTCCTGGGCCAGACTACACTCATCATATGACCTACTGAAGAGATAAGTCTTCAGTAAAGACTTAAAGGTGAGACCGAGTCTGCGTCTCTCACATGGTAGGCAGACTGTTCCATAGAAATGGAGATCTATAGGAGAAAGCCCTGCCTCCCGCTGTTTGCTTAGAAATTCTAGGGACAATTAGGAGGCCTGCGTCTTGTGACCGTAGCGTACGTATTGGTATGTACGGCAGGACCAACTCGGAAGATGGTAGGAGCAAGCCCATGTAACGCTTTATAGGTTAACAGTAAAACCTTGAAATCAGCCCTTGCCTTAACAGGAAGCCAGTGTAGGGAAGCTAGCACTGGAGTAAATGATCAAATTTCTTGGTTCTAGTCAGGATCTAGCAGCCGTATTTAGCACTAACTGAAGTTTATTTAGTGCTTTATCGGGTAGCCGGAAAATAGAGCATTGCAGAGTCTAATCTAGAAGTAACAAATGCATGGATTAATTTTCTGCATCATTTTTGGACAGAAAATTTCTGATTTTGCAATTTGTTTACGTAGATGGGGAAACCAAGCCCAAAAAAGGGTTCCCACCCGTCTTGGGCCGTTCGTCGCCCTTTTCCGGGCCTTCCTGCTCCCCACACCAACCAGTGGTGTGGCGTCGTCAGTGCAAGAAACCGCCCGTGCCCTGTTCCCCACACCAGAGCCAGTGGTGTGGCGTCGTCGGTCCGGCACGGCACATGCCTGGTCCACTGGAGCCGGATCCGCCGCCTATGGCGGAGGGGCCCACCCGTCCCTCCCCTGTTGTGTTTCTTGGCGGGGTTCAGAGTCCGCCCCTTTAGGGGGGTACTGTCACGCCCTGGCTCAGGGGACTCTCGTATGTTGAGCCAGGGTGTTAGTTTCTATGTTTTGGTTGTGGGTTCTAGGTTATTGTATTTCTTTGTTTGAGTGACTCCCAATCAGAGGTAACGAGTGTCAGCTGTTGGCTCGTTGTCTCTGATTGGGAGCCATATTTAACTATCTGTCTTTCACGTTGTGTTTGTGGTTTCTTGTTCTCAGTTTGGTTTGTGTATGTAACCAGAGACATCACGTTTTCGTCCGTTATTTTGATCATGTGATCAGTTTAATAAATAATACTATGTTCACCTTCAACGCTGCGCATTGGTCCTCCTCCTCATTGTTAGACGAGCGTGACAATGTCCCACTTTTGTTGTGTTTTTGGTACATTGAATGTCCCACTTTTGTTGTTTTTTTGGAATGTTGAATGTCAAACTTTTTATGTTGTTTTCACACACAAAAAATGAATACATGATTAATTGAATCAATTAATTGAAATAAATGATTAATTGAGCCATTACTGTTCAGCCTCAAGTTAACACAGTCAATACAGTGCGCTGTGGAATTGCTCTACATCCTGTCTAAATAAAAATAGTATCTTTGTTTCTGAGCTTGGCCTTGTGGTTAAGGCCGCTGCCTTGGCACATGTACATTTTCCCTGCCTGCGTTGGTACGAGTCCTGGCACCTACCAGGCCTCCTCTGTACCTCCTTCTCTCTGTCTCCCCTTCATTTGATATGTATCTCTGTCTTTGAAAAACAATCAAATACTCTGTAAAATACAGAAGGAGAGTCCAATAAAAGAATAGTGCCTAGCAGCTGTGCCCACAGTAAAAGCTAAATAACTTGATCACTTTCAATGTACTTCTGCTACATAACATTCACAAAATAGAAATATAGATGTGTCATTTCTCACTACTTATACAATAGTTTACAGAAACGTGAACACACACAAACATATTTACACAATGCAATTGATGTTATTCTCTATCTAGTACTTAATTCTAAAACTACATCTGCATCACAGTCTGGATGTGAACAGTAAGCCACAAGCTGCTCTACCTCTGAAAAAATGTAAATGACTCAGAGGGTATTGCAACCCAGTATCACAGATTATTGTGAAATAGACACAAATTGCTTATTGGAAATTTGTGACAAGCACACGAAAAAGTATATTTTTCATGTGCAGTACACGATTTTGTATACAGTGCATTTCAATCACAGATAAAGACAGTAGGTTACTTCAGACAGAAACGATAGGAGGGTGGATGGTGTAACGCAAACATCTAGCAACCCAAAGGTTATGTGTTCGAATCTCATCATAGATAATTTTAGCTAATTAGCTACTTTGCAACTACTTACTACCTTTGAGCTACAGTACCTGTCAAAAGATTGGACACACCTACTCATTCCTGTTTTTTTTTTACTTGTTTTTTAAAACTATTTTCTACATTGTAGAATAATAGTGAAAACATCAAAACTATGAAATAACACATACGGAATCATTTTGTAAACAAAAAAGTGTTAAACAAATCAAAACATATTTTATATTTGAGATTCTTCAAATAGCCACACTTTGCGTTGATGACAGCTTTGCACACTCTTGGCATTCTCTCAACCAGCTTCATGAGGTAGTCACCTGAAATGCATTTCAATTAACAGGTGTGCGTTCTTAAAAGTTAATTTGTGGAATTCATTTCCTTCTTAATGCGTTTGAGCCAATCAGTTGTGTTGGGACAAGGTAGGAGGGGGTTTACAGAAGATAGCCCTATTTGGTAAAAGACCGAGTCCATATTATGGCTAGAACAGCTCAAATAAGCAAAGAGAAACGACAGTCCATCATTACTTTAAGACATGAAGGTCAATCTATATGGAACATTTCAAGAACTTTGAACGTTTCTTCAAGTTCAGTCGCAAAAACCATCAAGCGCTGTCATGAAACTGGCTCTCATGAGGACCGCCACAGGAATGGAAGACCAAGAGTTACCTCTGCTGCAGAGGATAAGTTCATTAGAGGTACCATCCTCAGAAATTGCAGCCCAAATAAATGCTTCACAGAGTTCAAGTCACAGACACATCTCAACATCAACTGTTCAGAGGAGACTGCGTGAATCATGCCTTCATGGTCGAATTGCTGCAAAGAAACCATTACTAAAGGACACCAATAAGAAGAAGAGACTTGCTTGGGCCAAGAAACACGAGCAATGGACATTAGACCGGTGGAAATATGTCCTTTGCTCTGGAGTCCAAATTGTCTTTGTGAGACGCGGTGTGGGTGAACGGATGATCTCCGCATGTGTATTTCCCACCGTAAAGCATGGAGGAGGAGGTATTATGGTGTGGGGGTACTTTGCTGGTGACACTGTCTGTGATTTATTTAGAATTCAAGATACACCTAACCAGCATGGCTACCACCACATTCTGCAGCGATACACCATCCCATCTGGTTTGGGCTTAGTGGGACTATCATTTGTTTTTCAACAGGACAATGACCCAACACACCTCCAGGCTGTGTAAGGGCTATTTTACCAAGAAGGAGAGTGATGGAGTGCTGCATCAGATGACCTGATCTCCACAATCCCCCGACCTCAACCCAATTTAGATGGTTTGGGATGAGTCGGACCGCAGAGTGAAGGAAAAATAGCCAACAAGTGCTCAGAATATGTGGGAACTCCTTCAAGACTGTTGGAAAAGCATTCCAGGTGAAGCTGGTTGAGAGAATACCAAGAGTGTGCAAAGCTTCAAGACATGGCATTAAATAACAATGGTGCCTTGAGGCTTGTACCATAGAATTGCATTGCATGGTGTGTCTTGAGACATCTTGAGCCACAAGACATGTCACAAAACATGTCTTCAAAATGTTTCTCGAGTCATCTTAAGATGTCTTAAGACATGTCTTCAGAACAGCCGTGTCTTAAGACGTCTCAAGACACAGGTGAATCCTGGGTATGTACAGTCTGCATGACAACTTATGTAACGTGTTACTACATGCTACATAAGAGTCTACGTTCCAGATGTTATAACAAGGTGTTATGTCATTTACTAAGCTCTGTGCCACATTATTACATTTAATGGAATAATGGGTGGCATAACCATGTCATATGCCGTTATAGAGTGTGCACAGAAACCTTAAAGGTCGACTTCGGGCCAAAACACAAAAATAACGTATTTAAACTGTACAACTGATCAATGCACCATCATACTAGGTCATTTGATGCTTAAAAACAAAACATTGATTAATAAGATACTTGGCCACAGAAGTGTAATTTCTTGCTGAGCTCTACAGCTTCTGCCCAAAAACAAATCCTGTGAAATGATGTCAACACACACTGGAGGAGTTACTGTCTAGCTACAAGTGGCTAGCTTAGCTAACAAACTAGCTACATCGGTTGTGGAGCACAAGACCAGAATGACAGGTCGATGAACCTCTAAAGGCACACTCCATTTCTCTTGGACCCCTTTTTTTTCTGTACATGCTTCCTTCTTTTTACTCTGTAATTTAGGTTAATATTGTGGAGTAACTACAATGTTGTTGATCCATCGTCCGTTTTCTCCTATCATAGCCATTTAACTCTGTAGCTGTTTAAAAGTCACCACTGGCCTCTTGAGGAAATTCCTGAGCGGTTTCCTTCCTCTCCGGCAACTGAGTTAGGAAGGACGCCTGTATCTTTGTAGTGACTGGGTGTATACACCAGCCAAAGTGTAATTAATAACTTCACCATGCTAAAAGGGATATTTAATGTCAGCTTGTCTTTACCCATCTTCCAATAGGTGCCCTTCTTTGCAAGGCATTGGAAAACCTCCCTGGTCTTTGTGGTTGAATCTGTGTTTGAAATTCACTGCATGACTGAGGGACGTTAAAGATTATTGTATGTTTGGGGTACAGAGATGAGGTAGTCATAAAAACATTATGTTAAACACTATTATTGCACACAGAGTCCATGCAATTTATTATGTGACTTGTTGAGCACATTTTTACTCCTGGATTGATTTAGGCTTGCCATAAAAAAGGATTGAATACTTATTGACTCAAGACATTTCAGCTTTTCATTTTTTATTAATTTGTACATTTTCAAAATACACAATTCCACTTTGTCATTATGGATTGCTATGAATTGCAGCTTTAAATTACAGAGCATTTCTGTTCAAAACAATATTTTTGGGGAATACAATAAACATTTTGTTGAAAACTGGATCCTTGATGGAGTAGTGTGGATCCCTGTTAGCCAACCTTTCCCTGTTGTGCATCTAAGGGTATATTGTAGATGAATAATATTACATTGTATTGTATTGTACCCTCTAAACTTCTTCCACAGATCCCTCGGTCAAATTTGTTTCATCTGTTGTTGCTAGCAATATTATTTTTCGATCTGGCCACGGACCCCAGTTTGGGAACCACTGATCTAAAGCACTGGACCCCTCTTAGCCTACTGACATATTTTTGAATATGTGCTGACATCTAGTGGGTAAATCTGACTTTTTAAAGATTCATATTTATTTATTTTTACAGTTTTCACATGGATTCAATCACAACACAGTTCAGTGGTGGATGTATCACATAGTTATTTTAAACTTACATTTCATCACGATAAAAGTTTCAAAGGTCAGGTAAATTCATAGTCAACAGATACATTGAAATAGCAAGGTATGTTTACATCATTCACACTTCTTACAGGTTCTTTCAAGGCTGCACATTCAACAGGTCAACAGGTCATCAGGTCAACAGGTCAGCAGGTCATCAAAAGGAGAAAAATCAAGAAGGCCGAGATACAAAAATGATCTTACAAAAAAGAGCAAGTTCAGGTTAATGCCTCATGAGCTCAGTGTAATTATCCCATCACAACCCACAATATAAGATGGTTTACTCCATTGTTGGTAAACAATGTAATTGCAAACAAACACTGATTAAATATAGTTCAAACTATAATTTCATCTCATGGATGTTCAGTCTTTGCATCCAGAAGTCTATACATTTTAGTGGTTACATTTCTCGAGCCCTATTCCTCATTTGTTTACCAAACAAGTGACGGGGTGACCGCCATAGAGATCCATTTCAGGATCCTCATCAGGGTGGAGGATTGAGCTGCCTGCCTACCTGCCTGCCCTTGGACCTGACCAGCACCTCCGACCAGCACCTCTGCAGACCATCTAGCTATGAGCTTCCAGATCCTCTAATGACCGCGACTGTCCATCTGCTGGAGGTTTCAGGAAACACTCAAATACACTTGATTTGGATGACCTAGCTACTGTTGTAGCCTATATTTCTTTTTAAATGACTTCTTGTTGTTTATTTTGCTTAACAAGCGCTTTGAAATTCTGTCTAATGAAAAGCACTATAAAAGTGTAATACATTATTATTATTATTATTATTATTATTATTATTATTAAATAGAATAATATCCTATCGTTCTAATCCTAATGCTATGGTGACTGCTATGTTGTTTTATGATTCCTAGATTGCCCCTTTCAAGTCCCAAAGAAGAATGAAGTATAAGTTTATCATCTCTATGTAGCATGTTCCATAACTTGCTACATTTGCACACACTGTATATATATTTTCTGTTGTATTTTTGACTTTATGTTTTGTTTTACCCCACATGTAACTCTGTGTTGTTGTTTTTATCGCACTGCTTTGCTTTATCTTGGCCAGGTCGCAGTTGTAAATGAGAACTTGTTCTCAACTGGCTTACCTGGTTAAATAAAGGTTAAATAAAATAAAAAATAAAAAAAATGTTAAAAATAAATGCACTGTTGGTTAAGGGCTGTAAGTAAGCATTTCACTGTAATGTCTGCACCTGTTGTATTTGATTTGATGTGATTATTTGATTGTTGTCCACTGGGTGGTGTAACAGTCCCACAGATTATATGTAATGTTTTGAACTGTATGATGTCACCTCAGAGGTCCACCTGGTGGAGAGTGCTGTGGTTCTGGCCAGGAGAGTGCTGTGGTTCTGGCCAGGAGAGTGCTGTGGTTCTGGCCAGGAGAGTGCTGTGGTTCTGGCCAGGAGAGTGCTGTGGTTCTGGCCAGGAGAGTGCTGTGGTTCTGGCCTCTCTCCCTGGTGAAGTGTTCACTGAGTTGTAAACTCTTGGAACAATGTCCTGTTTGGAGATGAAACATTAGAACATTTAAATTATTCAAATTATCGTTCTTTAAAACTATTGATTTATATAATGCATAAATTATTTAATGAAAGAGCAGTTACCTCTTCTAGTGAATGTTGTTCTTTAGGGATTTTCCTTTTTCTGGCATGTATGATGTATCCATAGTACAGCAACTACTATAATAACACTTCCCACAATGGTGATAACTGGTAACACTGAGGCTTTCCCATCCTCACCACTACCTGTTCACACACACACACACACACACACACACACACACACACACACACACACACACACACACACACACACACACACACACACACACACACACACACACACACACACACACACACACACAGATGAAGAAAGATGTTCATAAGATAATAGTTTCATACAGGCAGAATTATTCCAATCTTAACTAGAGAATAATTACAATCATGATATCAAACCTTTGGTCATATTTTATTTTTAATGCCGATAAATGTAACTTTTATTCATATTATATTATTAGTAGGTTATTAAACAGTGATAGAGGTATGCAGTGAAGGTGACGGCTAAATGGTACTTACAGTCCTCCATGGGTTGAGAGATGGTCTGTGTGCTGACGTGGTTGCTGGTGGTGCATTGGATAGTCCCGTTGCCATTGGAGATGATGATGTTGACCCCAGACAGAGACAGTAACTGTTGTGACCGTGTACACTGACCCCCGCCACAGACAGACAACATCCAGCCATCTTTAACTGAACAGTTCACTGTGACGTCACAGAGTCCCACACTTGTGTTGAAGAGAGACGTGACATCCATAACTGGTTTGGGAACATGATCTACAAGAACCAATGGAGTTGGGAAAGAGATCCCTACATCCATGAGTGGTCTAGAGACTATAATTGTATTAAATATACAAAAAGATGACTACCAGCACAAAAACTTGATTAGGCCTACATGCATTATTGAACCTAATCAGATTAAATGTACGGCAAAATTACCATCAATCAATCAATCAATCAATTTTATTTTATATAGCCCTTCTTACATCAGCTAATATCTCGAAGTGCTGTACAGAAACCCAGCCTAAAACCCCAAACAGCTAGTAATGCAGGTGTAGAAGCACGGTGGCTAGGAAAAACTCCCTAGAAAGGCAAAACCTAGGAAGAAACCTAGAGAGGAACCAGGCTATGAGGGGTGGCCAGTCCTCTTCTGGCTGTGCCGGGTGGAGATTATAACAGAACCATGCCAAGATGTTCAAAAATGTTCATAAGTGACAAGCATGGTCAAATAATAATCAGGAATAAATCTCAGTTGGCTTTTCATAGCCGATCATTAGAGTTTAAAACAGCAGGTCTGGGACAGGTAGGGGTTCCATAACCGCAGGCAGAACAGTTTAAACTGGAATAGCAGCAAGGCCAGGCGGACTGGGGATAGCAAGGAGTCACCACGGCCGGTAGTCCCGACGTATGGTCCTAGGGCTCAGGTCTCTCAGTTGGCTTTTCATAGCCGATCATTTAGAGTTGAAAACAGCAGGTCTGGGACAGGTAGGGGTTTCGTAGCCGCAGGCAGAACAGTTGAAACTGGAATAGCAGCAAGGCCAGGCGGACTGGGGGCAGCAGGGTGTCATCATGCCCGGTAGTCCTGACGTATGGTCCTAGGGCTCAGGTTCTCAGAGAGAAAGAGAGAACGAGAGAATTAGAGAGAGCATACTTAAATTCACACAGGACACTGGATAAGACAGGAGAAGTACTCCAGGTATAACCAACTAACCCCAGCCCCCCGACACATAAACTACTGCAGCATAAATACTGGAGGCTGAGACAGGAGCGGTCCGGAGACACTGTGGCCCCATCCGAAGAAACCCCCGGACAGGGCCAAACAGGAAGGATATAACCCCACCCACTCCGCCAAAGCACAGCCCCCGCACCACTAGAGGGATATCCCCAACCACCAACTTACAATCCTGAGACAAGGCCGAGTATAGCCCACAGAGGTCTCCACCACAGCACAAACCAAGGGGGGGGGGGGCGCCAACCCAGACAGGAAGATCACGTCAGTAACTCAACCCACTCAAGTGACGCACCCCTCCCAGGGACGGCATGAAAGAGCACCAGCAGGCCAGTGACTCAGCCCCTGCAACAGGGTTAGAGGCAGAGAACCCCAGTGGAGAGGGGAACCGGCCCGGCAGAGACAGCAAGGGCTGTTCGTTGCTCCAGCCTTTCCGTTCACCTTCACACTCCTGGGCCAGACTACACTCAATCATATGACCTACTGAAGAGATAAGTCTTCAGTAAAGACTTAAAGGTTGAGACCGAGTCTGCGTCTCTCACATGGGTAGGCAGACTGTTCCATAGAAATGGAGATCTATAGGAGAAAGCCCTGCCTCCCGCTGTTTGCTTAGAAATTCTAGGGACAATTAGGAGGCCTGCGTCTTGTGACCGTAGCGTACGTATTGGTATGTACGGCAGGACCAACTCGGAAAGATAGGTAGGAGCAAGCCCATGTAACGCTTTATAGGTTAACAGTAAAACCTTGAAATCAGCCCTTGCCTTAACAGGAAGCCAGTGTAGGGAAGCTAGCACTGGAGTAATATGATCAAATTTCTTGGTTCTAGTCAGGATTCTAGCAGCCGTATTTAGCACTAACTGAAGTTTATTTAGTGCTTTATCCGGGTAGCCGGAAAATAGAGCATTGCAGTAGTCTAATCTAGAAGTAACAAATGCATGGATTAATTTTTCTGCATCATTTTTGGACAGAAAATTTCTGATTTTTGCAATGTTACGTAGATGGAAAAAAGCTGTCCTTGAAACAGTCTTGATATGTTCGTCAAAAGAGAGATCAGGGTCAAGAGTAACGCCTAGGTCCTTCACAGTTTTATTTGAGACGACTTTACAACCATCAAGATGAATTGTCAGATTTAACAGAAGATCTCTTTGTTTCTTGGGACCTAGAACAAGCATCTCTGTTTTGTCCGAGTTTAAAAGTAAAAAGTTTTCAGCCATCCACTTCCTTATGTCTGAAACACAGGCTTCTAGCGAGGGCAATTTTGGGGCTTCACCATGCTTCATTGAAATGTACAGCTGTGTGTCATCCGCATAGCAGTGAAAGTTAACATTATGTTTTCGAATAACATCCCCAAGAGGTAAAATATATAGTGAAAACAATAGTGGTCCTAAAACGGAACCTTGAGGAACACCGAAATGTACAGTTGATTTGTCGGAGGACAGACCATTCACAGAGACAAACTGATATCTTTCCGACAGGTAGGATCTAAACCAGGCCAGAACTTGTCCGTGTAGACCAATTTGGGTTTCCAGTCTCTCCAAAAGAATGTGGTGATCGATGGTGTCAAAGGCAGCACTAAGGTCTAGTAGCACGAGGACAGATGCAGAGCCTCGGTCTGACGCCATTAAAAGGTCATTTACCACCTTCACAGTACCAGAACTGAAACCTTACAAAACTCACCCTGCACTGATAGTCTATATGTAGTAGTTGATTCATTCCATTTTTTCCGGTAGTTTGCCTTGTAAATTCCACTGTCTGTGTTCAACAGATTGTTAATGCACAGAGAATGGTTTGCGTTGTTATAGTCCACCTTCTCCTTGTATTTAGGAGAGGTCTCTTTGACTCCAACTATTACATCACTGTTCCTCATCCATTTAAGTCCTTTGATCATCTCAGGAGGTTCTGGAACAGCCAGACATATTGAACCCCCCTTCAACCCATACTGGTCCACTGAAGGTTCCCCCCTGATTCCTAATGAGAGAGGACAAAGATCACATTTAGCATTTCACTGACAGTCATTTGACATTAATGTACAAATTGAGTCAGTAAGTAATTTGCTGCCTAAACTCAAAACTTTTCCAATTACCCATGTTATGTGCACGAAGTATTATTTCTAGAGTTCAAATCCAAAATCAAAAGTGATTCCTCCACACAATATAATTAATATAATGAATAGGTTACCTGTGGTGATACCTAGCCATAGAAGAAGAAGCCCAAGAATATTCATTTTTCTTTTGAAATTGAGAGATTAACTCTGCCTTCTTCTGTCAAAGTTCAGTCGCCTAATACTCTGCCTTCTTCTGTCAAAGTTCAGTCGCCTAATGATGAAGTTTAAATGAGTAGATGAAGTTTATTATCTTTTCCGAGAGTCAGTGATCCATACTACAGCTGGGCATAGATTTCACTGCAATGACTACTCGAATCATCAGCCCCGCCCCGGCCCTGTGTCAAATTTACGCTATGCGACCCAAGGCTGGTAAACTTTCTTCAGCAAAGATGTTGTGACAACAATACTGGGATGGAAGCAAATGTAAGTAATTATAACGTCATAACGAATCATGCAAAAAATGTACAGTTAAGAGGAATATGTTAGTTAATGTAGAGACAAACGTTTATGCATATTTTTTTTGTCATAAAGTTAATTTACGAAAATTGCTATTTAGCAAGCTAGCTGACTAGCTAACATTAGCCAGCTAGCTGGCTAGCTTTATTGGCGTTTTGACATGTGTATGAAATTATAATTCTGGTTGTTTAATGTTTTAGGGACTCCTGAAACAACCAGCAAACCAGGCTGTCGCCTTGTGAAACAGTGGATGTAAAGAATCTAGCTAGCTAAACCATTTAGTGCAAATTGAATGTACAATTGTTTATGCTTGCCTTGCTGATATTTGCTATGCAATGCATCTGAAGTAACGTAGCTATCTAACAATTGTATTGCTTATTATGTAGTGGAGGATAAAAAATACCTGTATGCCTATGGATGTGTAGCTAGCTATGTAGCCGATCTGTGTATGGACCCTAAAACGTTTGGTATAAATATTAGTTCAGAACCTAGCTATGAACCTCAGCTATCATAGCCGGTTGTATCAACTTCAAAACAGTCTGAATGACATTAATGAAGCCTATGGATTGAGTAGAATATAATATAACTTTGTGCCAAGGATGCAAGTCGTATATACATGTAGTTAAAACCATGCATGAGATCACCACATTGTAGCCTGTACATTGAATATATTCACTGATCATGTACTCTACCTTGGCAAATAAAGGTGCAGTTAGGGTATGAATGTCTGTGAGACATTCAGTCATGTCCAATACCAGGAGTATCAAATTCGAGTCTTTGAGTGATGCTGTGTCTGCATGTATGTGTTACAATTATACACTTCAACAGTGTTTACCAATCCTGGTCCTGGGACATCAATGGTTACACATTGTAACTATGCAATAGACTACAAATATGATTTAACTAGTTAAAGGCTGATTTGTAATTCATATATACAGAAACACAAAAAATCAGTACACTACACTCCCTATGCATCATGTAAATACTCTAAAACCAGTTAATCTCACTATCTAATTTCCTTCAACTGCATTGATCTGAGGATACAGGATAGGTGTAGTATTTCATCAAATGAGAGACTTAATTTCAACCTGTAGAGAATATGAAACACTTTATTGAAATAAGTTAATTATCCAAGTGTTTAAAATACATAATACATGCATTATAAATATTATAATTGTAATATTATATTACAAATACAAGTTCAATCTGTACTTCAATGCACATCATTATACAAACAGAGGAAGAAAGAGGTGTGAGAACAAGTGTAAAAGACAAAGGGAAAGAGGTAAGAACAGAGGAGCAGGGAAGACAGCATATTATTAATTATTTACAGTGCTACCCTTATATTCTCTCAGTTCATCACAATTACATAATAGTGTCTCTAGCGGTGTCTCCTAACAGCCTTGGGCCCCCAGTTGGGCCGAAAGTTATCTTAAGAGCGGGTGAGATGGTGATGACGGGACTGGGGGTTGGCACCCTCTCTCACATCAAAACATACCTGCAGACAAGAGACAGATGGAGAGAGAGAGCATGATTAAGCCTTGTTTTTAAATTCTAACACTCAGTCATCATAATCATCAGGTGAAATGCAAAACTGACCTTGTATCATTAACTCTGGGACTACTACATCTCTCTGTATTTCAATGTAAAGCATCTCTTTAATAATACTTCCTGTTGACCCGACCAAGTGACCTCTCACCTCTGATCATGCTGTGCCCTCTGTATCTCTGGATAAGAGCGTCTGCTAAATGACTAAAATGTAAATGTAAATGTAATGTGTCAGCCAGTTCAGATGCAGAAGGGGTTCACCGACACAGCTGATATAACATTTTTACATTTTAGTCATTTAGCAGACGCTCTTATCCAGAGCGGCTTACAGTTAGTGAGTGCATATATTTTTCATACTTATAACCTAAATGATTTATTAAGGAGCTCATTTGAATTAGCCTGCACGCTAAGTTTCTGTAGCAAGCTAGCTAATAATACATAGTTTTTGAACATTTTCAAAATATATTTAGTTACTTGAATAGGTTCTCCCACTGCATCTGTTTTCTGGGTCCTTAGAAAAACGAAGTAATGGGCAATGTTCCCGAAGTTTCCGGTGGTATCAAAACGCAGCCAGCAATGTGGACGACTGGAAGACTTTTAACAGACTGACTTTGGTCTTCCAACATGGCGCCTGGTGCGGTTGCTAGGTGATTTGTGACCCAACTGCATGCCCTCTTTTTTTGGCGCGCGTTGGGTTACTTATTCATTCTCTGGGAAGATAGCGCAAAGATGAGAAATAGAACCGGAAGTTAACTTTGTTAGCTTGCTACTCAGTGATGCCAATTTAGCAATTTTGTTGCTAGGTTTAGCAACTTTTCAGACTACACTGGCAACTTTCTTTTGAAACAGCACCAAACAACATTTAGCTACTTTTAAACATGTTTTTGGAACTTTTAGCAACTTTTGAAAAGTGACTGAAACGCTAAAATGCACGTATTTTCCCTCTAAATGACACAAAAACGATTTTCTCTGTCACACACTCAGTCACAACACACGTGCCTGGCTGGCTGCAAAAGTGCATTGTGAGTGACGTCAGCAGCAGGCGCTCAGCTCGTGCACAGGCAGCAGCAGGCCAGCCAAGCAGCACAACAACCTGGAGAGAGCTGGAGAGAGATGCCTAGCGCACACATCATTTGAATTAAGTTGCTTGTTCAATAAGATAGAATATATACCTTGTTATTAGCTTGTACCTATAATTGTTGATCAGTTAGGTAGCATATAATAATAATAATAATATGCCATTTAGCAGACGCTTTTATCCAAAGCGACTTACAGTCATGCGTGCATACATTTTTACGTATAATAATAATATAATATAATAATATAATATACGTATGGGTGGTCCCGGGGATCGAACCCACTACCTTGGCGTTACAAGCGCCGTGCTCTACCAGCTGAGCTACAGCTATGTTAACGAACTACCAAAACACTGCTTAAAACTATAATTGTTCAGAATGTGTAGGTTTATTTGTTAATAAGAAAATAAATAAAATGTAATTGTTTAATAATGTGTAATGTGTAATTGTTCAATAATTCAATGTGTTGTGTTTAAAAATAAAAATATTTGATCATATAAAATGTGTTGTGTTTATATTACTTTTACAAAAAAAGATATGTGATAATAAACAAACAAATCTAAACTAACAAATGCCAAATCATATTTTTAGCCTAGATGGTGAATTTATTGTGTATTCTACATAATGACGCAGTTTTACGTTATTAAATAATGACGTCATCACGCAATGACATCACAACGTCATTTAGCAACTTTTAGCAACAAATCGACCTGCCTCAAGCAACTTCCCCTGAAAATTAGTTGCCAACACTGTTGCTACTACTATAGCTAATTTGGTTAGCCCATGATGAGGCTATTCAGAGTTATTGACCTCACAGTAAACCAGATTTGAGTAACTTACATTTCAACATGTTGACTCAAAGCTACACTGACAGATAATGTTAAGCTAGCTAACTAGTTAGCTAACTTTAGGGACTACCCAGTCTAGCTAGCAGTGTTGCTAACATGAGCTACCTAGTACATTTTATGTGCAGGGTTTTGACAAGATTTGATAAGCTATCTGGACACTGAATCTGCTGGAGCTCAATTCACCACCCGAAAAGTATCACTAACTAACCAATTACTGTCCAAATATGCTAACAAAGCTAGCTGGCTAACTTGAGGGGCGACAATGGCTAACATGACGTTTTGATAACATTTACATTACAGTCATTTAGCAGACGCTCTTATCCAGAGCGACTTACAGTTAGTGCATACATTATTTTATTTTTTATTTTTTCATACCCCCCCGTGGGAATCAAACCCACAACCCTGGTGTTGCAAACACCATGCTCTACCAACTGAGCTACATCCCTAACTTCAACTCAACTACACTACCAGTCAAAAGTTTGGACACACCTACTCATTCAAGGGTTTTTCTTTATTTTAAAAATTTTTTACATTGTAGAATAATAGTGAAGACATCAAAACTATGAAATAACAGATATAGAATCATGTAGTAACCAAAAAAGTATTAAACAAATCAAAATATTGTAATGACACTGGGTTTATAAGCGCGGATATCGACTCTGCCACACAATCATGCTTTTGGGGCACAGTCGATGGCGCGCTGGACTTCGGCTAGAAGGTTGAGGGTTCGAGACCTGCTCCCTGCCTGTTTCATTACATTGGTGTCAGAAGTGGGATCGGACCTTGCATCCAGGAACGTGCGTGTGCTTGGCCGTTGAGCGCGTTCCTGTAAGACGTTGAGTTGTAAACTAGCACGAGGATGCGCACTTTGAAAGGAGGGAGTTGTGTAACGACCCTGGGTTTATAAGCACGGATATCGACTTTTGGGGCACAGTC